ATAAGGTTTAGCTGACTTTGCACATAAGAAGATGCTATTGTTGGATCTTCATGACTTGCAAGAATGATTGTGTCATCCGCGAAAGTACCGATTGTAGTATTGGGTGTAGTAGGTATATCAGATGTGTGTAGTAGATAAAGCAAAGGGCCCACCACAGTACACACTGCCCTGCGGTACCCCAGCCTGGATTGGATAAGTGTTCGAGTATTCTCCATTTACTTTAGTCCGGAATTGTCGATCAGTCAAGTAAGATTTAAGGAGTAGAAAGTAGGATGGGAGGATTTGCTTAACTTTGTAGAGAAGACCAGTGTGCCACACCTTATCAAACGCCTGGCTTATATCAAGAAGTACAGATGTGCAATATTTTTTGTTTTCCAGGGATGTGTTTATTGTTTGTACGACGCGATGGCACTGTTGAACTGTCGAATGAGATTGTCGAAATCCAAACTGATGATCTGGGATAACATTTAGGAGGGGACTAATTCGATGGAGTATGAGTTTTTCTAGGAGCTTGGAGATAGTATATAACAGACTTATTGGTCTGTAGGAGGAGACTTGATGTGGATTTTTACCAGGTTTGGCTATTAGAATTACTTCAGCAGCCTTAAGCTGAAGGGGCCAATAGTGCAAACGGAGGATTCCATTAAATATACAGGGTGTCCCTAAAAGGTCTGTACAACGCGCTACCAGGGGTTCTTGGTATCAAAATAGGACGATTTAACCCAACTTACCTCTATCCAAAAGTGCTTCGGTAAGGCGCTATCTACCGCCAAAGATTAAAAAAAAAAATCGTTATTTTTATTTTATTGGAAAAGGGTTTTGCCGATTAAAATGAAATTCGGGATGTGAATGTCTAATGTAAAAAGGGTCTTTGTGATATCGTTTTGATTGTAGTTGCTATGTAGGTGGTAAAATACTGACCATCCACATCTGAAGAGGTCTAAAACTTTTTAACTACTATTTTGACGGTTCTGAATTTTTAGACACTGATAGACAGTTTACTTGCAAGCATTTTTTTTTCTCTTGATGAATATCGCTATCTGTGATGGTTTACGAAAAAAAAAAAAATTTAGGCATGATGAATGGCATGCACCATACATGCGATTGTTCCTCAAAAACCATAAGTGCAAGCAAGAAGTAGGCTATGAAACCGTAGTGCATGTAACGTATAATAAACGAACACAACAGAGTAAGTCAATGTAATGTATTAATTTAAACTACTAAATAAATAAATAAAAAATAAAACTGATTTTTTGAGGAACAATCGCATGTATGGTGCATGCCATTCATCATGCCTAAATTTATTTTTTTTTCGTAAACCATCACAGATAGCGATATTTATCAAGAGACAAAAAATGCTTGCAAGTAAACTGTTTTTCAGTATCTAAAAATTCAGATGTTGATGGTCAGTGTTTTACCACCTACATGGCAACTACAATCAAAACGATGATATCACAAAGACCCTTTTTACATTAGACATTCACATCCCGAATTTCATTTTAATCGGCAAAACCATTTTCCGATAAAATAAAAATAACGATTTTTTTTAAATCTTTGGCGGTAGATAGCGCCTTACCGAAGCACTTTTGGATAGAGGTAAGTTGGGTTAAATCGTCCTATTTTGATACCAAGAACCCCTGGTAGCGCGTTGTACAGACCTTTTAGGGACACCCTGTATATGTTAGGAGTACAATTCCTTTTCTAGGGATTTCTTTTAGCATTTTGGGTGTGATCAAGTTAAAAAGGAATAAGTTTTGTTAAGTGCATTTTTCTTCTCAACAGAAAACTGTTAGTAATTAAAATTTGTGTAAGTGATCCTTTTGGAATTTAAGGAACTTGATCGCGGCCATAGAATTTAGAATCGAGTTTGAAATTTTTTATTGTGCCGGGATTCCTGTCCTGGGACAAAATTTATAAGAGAGCTAGGTGGGTTTAAGATGTTTTGTTTAAGCTTCATTTTGGTCGGTCCATGGCACACTGCAATATAATATTATATTATATGAATTCATGATAGATTATTCAATGATTTTTTAAATTCCTTAGGGATTGTTCATAGAATATAATCAAGGGTGGGGCACATATCTACCATCTGTCCAGAAAGTAGCCTAAAACAGTGTCGCCACCCGTAAGATGTTTCGGCACTCTTATTGGCCGTTGCCGAATATATTATATTATATATTATGCCAAGCAGTTTTTCAAAAAGTCTTCCATTAAATTACTATGTTGTATATTACGAAAGCGTGTAGGGGCCATGAAGAAAATTTATTTTTCTATTCTTGCGATTGCTAGTTTTTTTTACAATTGTTGTATTTTACTTGCAATGGCTAGTTTTTTTCTTGCAATTGCTAGTTTTACTTTGCAATTTTTAGTTTTTTGTTGCAATTGTGAATTTGTTTTCTAGCAATTATTAGTTTTTTCTTTGCAATGAAAAATCTAGCAATTGCAAGAAGAAACTAGTAATATCGAGAAACAACTAACAATTGCAAGTCAAAACTAACAGCAAAGAAAACCTAGCAATTGCAAAAAAAACTAGCAATAGCCGCCAGAAAAAAAACTCGCAATTCCAAAAAACTAGTAATATCGAGAAACAATTAACAATTGCAAGTCAAAACTAACAATTACAAAGAAAACTAACAATTACAAAGAAAACTCAGCAATAATAATAATAATAATAATATATTTGCTGTCAGCAGATCAATAGGTAACATTGATATTGACAAAGTCACATTAACGGTACATAAATACATAAAAACAAACACGCAGGTAAACTAACACTAAACAATAAAATAGCTCACTTTATATAGCGCTTTCTCCAGTAAAAATGCAATTGCATGAAAAAAGTAACAATTGTAAGAAAAAAACTAGCAATTGCAAAAAAACTAGTAATATCGAGAAACAACTAACAATTGCAAGCCAAAACTAACAATAATTACAAGGAAAAACAACAGTCCAACAATTCCAAGAAATAACTAGCAATCGCAGGAGAAGTAAAATAAATTTCCTTCATGACGCCTACACGCTTTCGTAGTATCTTGAACAATATTATTCAATAGTTGCGAAAAATATTAGGAACTGTGGTTATCAAGAGAAAATATTTTAATCCGCGTGATTTGAAAAAAATTAATGTAATCCAAGTGAAAAATTTGTGTAGCGATGTTACTTAGCTCTTGTAGAATTATTCTCAAATTTTACCATCCGGTTTACTAATGGAAATTTTGGAACTTCCAATTTCCGAAGGTCATAACTAATAAAAATGCAAGTTTACAGTTTAAATAAATTGTCTGTCGTATTTGTTTTTATAGGCTTTGTTTTTCTTGACTTTCAGCCAGAAACTAGCTAACAAAATGTACTGTTATTCGGAAGCAGCGTCCCCTCGAGTACCGATGCAATTGTACATTTATTTGGACAGCCAATCAGAGCGCCGGAACCTCACCATTTTCCACGTAGATATCCGGCTCCAGTCACAATGAGAAATCTCAATGTTGACTTTAAAAAAATTCCAAAGAATGAACTGCACAAATTATTTTTATCCACGCCCGAGTTGATTCTTGAGCACGAAAAGAAAACTCTGACATGAACTCTATCCCAGTCGCACATTGAATTCGAATAACACACAATTCATTGATTGACAATGACGAATTTATTCTGAAACACATGACAAAAATTTAAAAAAATCCCTGAAGGAAAGAAAAGCATACAAACATTGTTTTGACTTATTACCCCACACGCATACAGTCAACAATTGAAAATTTAAAAAAATTATAAATTATTTAGTTTTTAGCGCATTTTCCAACTCATGTTTGAAGGCGCTATTATAGCCACTTTCTCCGCCCGCCCGTGCGTTCGTCCCAGGCTTTAACTAGTCCTACAGTTTTTGAAATATTTATTTATTTCTTTTTGCATTTGGTAGCTTATAGCTCGGGCACCTCAACCTAAATCTGATAAAAAAACACATTGACCTCAAATAACATGATCGGAATTGTGTTCAGCCACATTTAACATCAAAAATAAATAAAATTAAACACATACAGAGTCACCCTATATTACTGAGACACTGAAAGCAAATAAAACATTGCATGGCCTATTTTACAACAATTCTCAACAACAATCCTAGAATTCAATTTTTTTTAATTATAATTGTATAAACTTTCGTTTTTAATAACTTTAGCCATGGCCTACTAAAAATTCTAACTTTAAATTTTGATCTTTTTTTACCTGAACTGAAATTCACTACGAGGCATTGAAATCTAAACTTCCCGATTTATATTAAAATCACTGTGGGCCTAAATAATTTTGATAAATAGATTCGATCCACAACCAAGAAACAACTTCCGTAGCTTTTTGCGTATTAATTAATAACTATTTTTGCCCCTTCCGGGATATATGCGATCACTTATAAGTAATTTTTTTAATTTATTATCTTCCGATCTCTGTGAAGTGATGATCGAATTAGACCCGCGTATGCTATTGGCAACCCTGCACTTCCTTCTAAAGCACTTGGCCGATTAAGTATCGTACTTGTAAACTTACCACGAAGAAGGCGAGACCCTTCTGGCATTACATTCCGAGCTCTGCAGCTTGGGAGTTTTCTTTTGTTTGCGGATTTATGGATCCGGGAACTCGGCTCACTTCTCTGGATAACATATTAAATTAAGGTAAGCGTTACCTTTTCCTTGTATTTTGCACTACACGTCCGCATTTGTGTTCGGAACATCAACTTCTTTGTGGAAACTTGTTTTAAGATCCAGTAATTAATTTAATCAATCATTCTTGATTGGAGGATAGTTGACATACGGCGTTTTGGATGGAGCCCTACCAAATAAATGCATAATACAATTAATAATAAAGATATTTGTTTATATTTATTTCGGAAATTGTCGTTGTGTTGGTAATAATGAATTTACCTACGACTCACTATGGACTAATGACTATGACAACCTCAATTTTACTGTAGGTATCAATACGATATATATAAATAACAGATTTTTTTCCTGTTCCAGGTTACCAGTGCCTTGGTTATTGTACGGCATTATATATGGAGAGGGAGTAAAGGTCAACTCGGTTGGCATGGTGTGTTCAATCACAATCCTTTTCATGATGCTTATATTTGTCATTATGTCTATTGCGTGTTTCCATTGGAAAATGAACAAAAGTCTTGGTTTTACTATGTTTCTTTTGTATTTTGTCTTCGTAGCGGTGTCGCTAATGTTTGAGTATGGAAAATTAGTGTGTCCATTTTAAAGAGAGTGAACACTTTAGTAGTTAGGACATAGACATAGCGAATTTAGGTGAATGCGTTTGTACAGGTTTTAAAGGAGACGATAAACATTACTTCGGGTTTTATTCAACTAGTAGTTACGGACATGATTCTTTTGCGAACCAATTTGCTGCAAAGAACTGAAAAAAAAAGATATTGCTATATATTTTTGTTAAAATTATGCATCGAATATATTTTCCTGCACTTGTTATCCAATTACCACGACTTTAGGTGAATATGATCAATTTATGAAACTCTTGAAAAGAACCCGAAGATAACTGCTACAAGCTATTGGTGTTCAGCACAAAAAAGACATCAACTTCCAAGCTACTACATTACTGTCATTTGTAACAAATTAATCAAAACTTACTTTTTTGTAGTGCGTCCCATGCCATGATAGCAATAATTTAGTAATATAGCCAATAGAGTAAAAAATAGATGTTTTTATAACAAAAAAAGTCGTGTTATTACGTGCACAATTTTTAAGCATGTACTAATAAATGTGTATTAAGCATTTTTATAAACATTTAGAGAATTTATTACTTATTTTAGCAATTTTACATAACTGGACAAATAATAAGTTAATATTTAATTGATAAATATACAGTTTTCGTATCTGTAGAAGGTGCTGCGTTGTGATTTTCTTTGACTCGACAAAATTTTATGCACTTTTGTTTAATAATTATTCATGACTTTGGTTTACAACACTGCACCTTTTACGTGGAGGTAGAAATATACATAACGATATTTTAACATATCATAACGCTTAGCAGGCAGATAATGAAGAACAAAGATATACTTTATCTTCCCGAAGTAAGCAGCACTGTAGATTGCCATAATGCTAGTTATTTTGAAAGATACTTTAGAGTTAGATATATTAGAAGGTGTATATATATGATTATTTAAGGCACTGAGACTTGCGTCTCTTTAATGGAAGTGCCTAGTGTTATATTAATTTTATTTTACCTGTTGTGATATAACAGAACTTTAAATGTATCGTAATCAATTGAAATTCTTGTGTAGTATGTAACATACTCGTCGTATTATTTTTTTTAAGGTAGATCCCATGACGCCGGAAGTTAATAAAAAAGTTCCAAGTACCAAAATCATTGCTTGCATACGGCTTGGAGACTCAACATTTAAGTTTAATATTGAGCAGTAATTGTTTCATAAACTCAACTACTTGGACACTTTTTTATTCATTTCACGCGTCTCAATTTTGAGTTTCAATAATGTGCGAGCGCCATTTTTTGTTTAAAATAAGATCTACGCTCAAACTCATCTATTCGCACAAATAGCATCCTAGAGCAATTTTCTAAATTGTATTCTAAAAAAGCAATACGTTTCCAAATTCTTGTTTTAGTCATCTCTTTCTTACGAATATAGTAATACAAGACCGTGAAGCAGAAGAAGTGGTGCTCGCAGTTTATTTTTTGGTACGTTAACGCTTTAATGTGATACTTTGTACAAGAAAAAGTTTATTACTATTTAATATAGAATACCTAACACTTACGTATAAGTATATATTTGATGTAAAAGTTTACCTAAATCGAAAAAAATTGATATATTTAGTTTGCTTACATAGAAATCTGTATTTAATCTTTCGAGACGGAACCCAAATTATACAAATGTTCGCAATTTTAATGCAAATTTAAATTTAAAATCCTGTATGTTACAAAGTATAGATATACGACTAACTTATTAAAAGAGAGATATAACGTTTAATATGGGAGCTGGATGACTAATTTTATAATAATTCCAAAAGGCTCGACAAAGGGAAATTAATTAAAACGTTGTTTAAAATTCGATGTTTAAATTTAATTACGAACTACCCACTTAGAGTATATCTATATGTTCAAATAAAAACGCAAGACAATGAATTATCTAAGGCTTTGTATCTCTTCTTCTTTTAACCACGAAATATTATTAATGATTTTTAATTCTAGTTCCAAATTTCAATGTAGTTTGAATTTAATTTGGCTTCGTCTGTATTTTATATACTAAATAGAAGTTGTTAACATACAATTAAAAAGAGATTTAGATATAAGTATATGAAGAAAATTGTTGAAGGAATGATATCATACCAAATATAGTCCAGTAGCATTAGGCGTGAAACTATTTCAAGTTTTCTGCTTCATATTGTTATCCTTCGAATACTATTATATACTATATAGATTTTAGAATTATATACAGATAGGTATTCTGTACTTAATATATTGTTACCTATTTGCTCTTATAATTTACGCATTGTTGATATTTAATAGTTTTAAATAATATATTTAATATACCTAAAGATACTTAAAACAAAAATAATTTGTTCCTGTAGTAAATCTACGAGGACGTTGCGTATCACCTTATTTTAGACTCCTCCATAAATGTGACAAATTGGAAAAAACAATGAATAGCTTTAGGACAATCTGAAAGTTGAGTATTGTAGATAAAGCAAAACTACAGAAATAAATAATATTTGTATTTTAATTTTGTTGCAAATTTAGTTTGTAAGCAACAAAACTAGTCTTTACGTATGTGTTACCCATCTTAACGTATAAGGTATTGCATTAGATATTATTTAACAAAATTTTGTTACTTCATCATAGTCTGTCTCACTTTTCAGTTTTGGGGTGGATCTAATTTATTAATATTAAGAGTATAATAATAAAATATTATAACCGTGATATTAGATCAGCTTCGTATATCACAAGAAATGATTCACTAACAACATGCTAGCGCTTACGTTAATTTTATTAATAAATATTGTTTTATAAACCTCTGAAACGCTTTTTAAGTAAAAATGTGAAAAATTCAAAGAGTGATTACCTAAATATTAATCTTTTACCTTTATATAGGAAGTAGATAATTTTTATGATATTTTTAGACCAAAAGCCACAGCCATTTTCTATTTTCCACCAACCACACTCATTGTATAATACAAGTGTAAACATTTTGTAGTTTTTCAATTGGTATCATGTAAAAATCGGCGCAATGTTTTATTTTCTTGTCGTGCCATGTTATGTTTTGGCGTTGTGCTTTGTTTATTCATCAACTTTTAATATATAATATTTTAAATACACTATATTTTTTTGTAAAGTAACTCATATCAAAGATTAACATTGTTAATTGTGTACTTAGTAAATTGTTATTACTAGAAAATATTATAGGAAAATACCTACTATTATAAAGCCATTTCATGGTATGTTACTTTTTGCCGACAATATAATATGTACAATTAACGTATTTTTATCTGCTGCTTGAAATTTGTCAGATATTGCTTTAATACTTTTGCCTGCCCTTTCGCCAGTGGTACGTCGTTTCCAATTTGATATGGGTCAATTGAATAGAATTCATGTAGTAGATGAAGAGTGTTCTGAAACAGAGACAGAGATAGGTGCAATAGCTTAGAAACGGCATGATAGATAGGTTCACTATTCAGTAGTAGAGTATTCACTGACCAAGTGCTCGGAATGTCAACTTGAATGCTTCCCACTTCTTGACGTGGCTAACTAAAGTGCTCCTGGCAGAAGGGAAATAAATGGGTGTACTGGCATTGAAATTGGAGTTTACAAAAATAATTACGTATAACGTTTTGATGTTTTTTTTTATCTTTACTACCATCAGTGTAACACACATAATTATTCGTTTTAAATGCAATATCATCTTTTATATATTTATTTTGAAGGCAACACCATATGTAGAATGTAGATACACAAATTGATTTGGAGACTTGGAGTGAGAAATCGTTCAAAATGCAGTAAGATGTAACTTCACAATTCGGGAATGTTGTGACATACCCCTACGGTTAGGCAACTCACATGCCATCTTACGGAATTGCAACAGTCTGCGTAAAATAAATACGAATCGCTCTGTATACACCAATCGTTATAAGTTTTCGAGTTCGACCATTCTGCGCAGATGCCGAGAACAGGGGATTTTAACAACGAAGCTTCCTGAAATTTTCAATATTAATATAATTTAAAACTTACACCTCTGCACATAGACTTTTGGGAAACTCTGTATAACTACGTACTGTGTCTGATTCAAGAGTACAGGGATTTTTCTTATTAGTTTGGACATTTTTTGGTCTCATGTAATTTCTTTATTTGCGACCGTTATCGAGAAAAATCAACAAAAATCATTTCAAATTTCAATAATTTCAAACAGGTCCAAGATTGGACTGCTAGTTCAAAAGTTACAACCCTTTGAATTTTTTTTCGATATTGGTTTCTAGTCTATAACGTTTTATTGAGAAGTCTGATCGAAAAAGTACGAATTGTTTTGGATTCTACGCACCAAAATTAATAAGAAAAAGTGTTTTCCCGAGATATTTATGTGTAGTCGATTTTTGGTAAAAAAGGAAGGTTATACACTGCCTTTTTTTGAGGCCCGGAAAAAAAATTGTCTCAGATCGACCCGGAAAAAAAATTTTCTTATAGAATGTGGCCTGTAGAATCCATAATTTCAAACAGATCCAAGATTGGACTGCTAGTTCAAAAGTTACAACCCTTTGAATTTTTTTTCGATATTGGTTTCTAGTCTATAACGTTTTATTGAGAAGTCTGATCGAAAAAGTACGAATTGTTTTGGATTCTACGCACCAAAATTAATAAGAAAAAGTGTTTTCCCGAGATATTTATGTGTAGTCGATTTTTGGTAAAAAAGGAAGGTTATACACTGCCTTTTTTTGAGGCCCGGAAAAAAAATTGTCTCAGATCGACCCGGAAAAAAAATTTTCTTATAGAATGTGGCCTGTAGAATCCATAATTTCAAACAGATGCAAGATTGGACTGCTAGTTCAAAAGTTACAACCCTTTGAATTTTTTTTCGATATTGGTTTCTAGTCTATAACGTTTTATTGAGAAGTCTGATCGAAAAAGTACGAATTGTTTTGTTACGCCCCAAAATTAATAAGAAAAAGTGTTTTCCCGAGAAATTTTGGTGTAGTCGATTTTTGGTAAAAAAGGAAGGTTGTACAGTACACTGCCTTTTTTTTGCCACGAAAAAAAAATTGTCTCAGATCGACCGGGAAAAAACATTTTCTTATAGAATGTGGCCTGTAGAATCCATAATTTCAAACAGTTCCAAGATTGGGCTGCTAGTTCAAAAGTTACAGCCTTTTGAATTTTCTTTCGAAATTGGTTTCTAGTCTATAACTTTTGATTGAGAAGTCTAATCGAAAAAGTACGAAATGTTTTGGATTCTACGCCCCAAAATTAATAAGAAAAAGTGTTTTCCCGAGAAATTTTGGTGTAGTCGATTTTTGGTAAAAAAGGAAGGTTAAGTATACAAATACTATGCGAAGTATTCGAATACTAAATATTTGTGAAAGTATTTAAGTTACAAATTAATACAAGTACTGCTTCCATAAAAGTATTTAATTACAAAGTATTTTAATACTTTAAAGGATTTGAATACTAAAAAGTATTTACAAAATCGAATACTGCCCAGCTCTGACTATACTCTTCGTTTTTTTTGCAAATTTGTATATTAAATGTATGCGCTTTTAAACTGAATTTGAACCTGCTGCCTCCCTCTGTAGTTGGGATATAACATTAATTAAAACCGGAACCTCTCCGGAAATCATCTACCTGTAGTAGCTGCTTCCATCTGGTGTCCCCTCTCGTGTAACAGAAAAACGAGCAAAAGTACGAAAAAAACGTCATTACGTTGAAATCGTTAGCCGGCAAAGGAAGTTTGGTAAATAGAAATTGTTTTCAGTATTAATAAAAATGAGTGATGTGTCCGAGTGTCTCAACGCCGTGAAAGAACTCAATTTATCGAATGACAAAAAGGTATACAATTTTTCTTATGTTAAATCAACATTTATCAAGCGTTTGTAAATTACAACAAAAAAGAACACGACACGTAGACATTCAAAGCATAATTATAATTCCATAAATTGGAAGATTCCAATATGCAAGCACTGAATTAAAAGTAGGCCCTGTTGTATGATGCAAGGCAAACGTTTATTTCGATTTGAACCGGAACCAAATTTCTTGGTTATGATTTCTAGGTGCTGACAGCATGTCCCGAATTGCAGGTGTAATTATGGTACCCGAAATGGTACCTCTATTGCTCACGTTTGATTTGGGCAATGTAAAAACACATTTTATTGCATCATACTTATCACCACATGGGCAGGTACTTTTTCGAGTTGTAGGTACCGGCAGCGGTGTCTGATGCAATATTTAAATTTAAAAAAAAGGTATAAGATTTTTTAATAACGTATGTACGTAAAATTTTGGGAAATTCCCTTTTGTTTATCAGCTTTGAGCGTTGCGTTATCATTTGCTAATAGATAAGGACGATGCGGTTTTTCCTTCTACCCACTCTGTTTATGATCTTTGTACATCGGAATTTAAAAAAAAATAATATTTTCATTTCAAAAGCGTTGACTAAACACAGAACCGCACGATTTTTCTTCCCAGTCAAATGAAATTTTTTAAATTAGGTAGTACTTGCACCCTGTATACTAATAAATATACTCGTAAATATATTATGTGCAAAATGTGTCAAAATTGATATATATTGGATAACCATTTTATATGCAATTATACTACATATTCAAATTGTTTTGGGAAATTTTTAAATACAGTGTGTCCCCGGATAGACTTCAATTGATCAAAAAATTTTGAGTCTGAAAAGAATTTCAATTAAAAACCAAGATGGCCGTGATAATTGAGGAAAATATAATTTTATGTTGAGGTAAAGTGCCATTTCGGTCAATAATACGGGAAACTGTTATTAAGAAAAGTAGTTTAGTTTAGACTATGAATTTATGTCCATATGCAAAAGTTCACAAGTATCAGATCACTTTGATTAAATCAGTATTTGCTTTAGTCTTACCGAGAGTCTTACATAGGAACCCCAGAAACATTCTATGTAAAACTATGTAATAATAATTCATTTGTTTTATTTACACAGAAGAATACTAATTGTTTCCGTGGTTGCTATGCAAGACTATCAAATACTGATTTGCATTATGGACATAATGTTACATTTTACGTAACTTATCTTAACAGTTTGGCATATTATTGGCCGAAATTTCACTTTAACTCAACACAAAATTATTTATTCTCAATTGTCACAGCCATCTTGTATTTTAAAAAGTAGAAATATTTTATATATTTTCAGACCAAGCAGGCCGGGATCCCAAACCATCAAAACGAGATTCAAAATTTTTTGATTGATTACACATAAACAAAAGAATTAAACAAAATAAAACGCAGAAAGCTTACTCCTAGTCTCCTAGAACAAATAAGTAAATTCAGCGACGACTTAGTATCGAAGTACCCAATTTAAGACGGTTCTAGATAGCGGGTGTTCACAAATATACGCTGTGGTCATAACTTCGGGTATGAAACTTCAGGGCGGAAAACGGGTGCTTTATTACACGTTAAACAATTTTCGCATGCGAAAAGTGCGTCAAGATCGCAAAAGGAAAATGCGTGAGTCCCGTGATAAGAAAAAGAAGGAATCCAACAAACCAGTTTTCAATTATGTACCAATAATAAATTGACCATAATTAATAAAAAAATCGTTGAATTTTTATGAAAAGAAACGTATTATCTTATCAGCAAGTTTATGTAGGTATATGAAACACGAGATGAACAACCCTAAATTATTCTTTTCAATTTTTAAACAACCATAGAGTATTGTTTTTTTAATCTCTGGACTGTTAATTAACTGCAAAATATGCAAAAAAACGCAGTGCTCCATTAAAAAACAAATCTCTTTCAATATCTTCCAAATCTGATCACCTACAATTGATGAAAAATGTTTATCTGGTCTCGATGGGGACACCCTATATTAAATATGCCACTACGTTTTTTTTGTATTATCGCAATTCTAGATAACAGCAGTTCGTGGTCCAGTTATCATTTGCATCGCTGTCGTTTTCATTCAGTCCAAATATAGTTTAATTGGTCAGTGGCAACGTGGTCAGATCCATATGTTTTCGTCCACGGTGCACACTTTTTAAAAATAAAAAAACTCAAAATCCATTTTTTGACCTCACTGGTGAATAGTAAAAACGGCACTAAAAATGAGTGAAGTTGTGTGTAACGGTGTTTCCAAACTAAATGTTAAATCAAAAAAGGCAAGTTTTTTTCGCTGGGGACAAAATCTCAAATTTTGGGCGCAAAATCAAAAACGGCAGTGATTTTGTAAGCTCGATCTAATTTATGTTGCGTTATCGGACAAGGTCGTGTCTTGAATCTGGATTGAGGTCAAAAATGTACCTACTTATTTCTAGATTCAGAATTGTCTACAAAGTGATGCAATAATTTCAATTTGGAACATCACATTTTTTGCATCGTGTACATTACTCATTTTCCAGTAACAGTCAAATTTCCCCCGCTCCTTTTTTTGGGAAATCCCGAACCACATTTGCTGAGATTGACAAAATTGCACTAAAGAAGAAAAATTACAATAGCTTCTACTTAGTTTTCAGTTAAGGGTTGATATATAAATTAAATTTAGGGGTAATGAAGTTTTTTAATTAGATTTACAATCAGATCGCATAAACATAACCTAACATTAGCACACCTTCTGTGAGTCATTAATTGTCTATCTTTTCCAGACAAAAATGGGTGACAAAGGCGACAGTAAACCCTTACCTGCTTTCATCGACCATCGAGAGCAAATGTGGGTGAAACTAAAAGCCCAGTACGAAGAGGAACTAAAAAATAAATCACAAACACCGATTAAGGTCACCCTTCCCGATGGTAAACAAGTGGACGCGCTCGCTTGGAAAACCACCCCTTACGATATCGCCAAATCCATCAGGTGAGCAACTCCTTTACAGTAAAATCACTTAAGGCTCCTTTACAGTCGAGGATTAGCAGAAAGTACCGTCATCTCAAAAATTGATGGCGTACTCTGGGACATAGAAAGACCCCTAGAAGGCGACTGCAAGCTGGAACTGCTCAAGTTTGATAATCCGGAGGCAAAAGCGGTATTCTGGCACTCGTCTGCGCACGTTTTGGGCGAATCATTAGAAAGAGTATACGAAGGATTTCTATGTTACGGTCCGCCCATTGAAAACGGTTTTTACTACGACATGTTTATTAACGACAAAGGGGTAGGTTTTTGTTTCGGAATTGTGGTTTTGTCTCATTTTTAAATGTTCAGATTTCGACCACCGACTTTCCCAACATTGAAACTGTTGCCAAATCTATCACAAAAGAGCAGCAGCCGTTTGAGAGGTTGGAGATGAAAAAGGAAGATCTTTTGGAGATGTTTAAATACAATCCGTTTAAGTTGCGAATTCTAAACGAGAAGGTTACCACTCCGACCACCACCGTATACAAATGCGGTACTCTCATTGACGTTTGTCGAGGTCCACATGTCCGTCACACCGGTAATGTAAAGGCGTTTAAATTGACTAAGGTGCGTTACTCAGACATATTTTAAATGATTATTCAATGGTTTGATTTAGAACTCGTCTACCTATTGGGAGGGTAAATCGGACGCTGAAACTCTACAACGAGTCTATGGCATCAGTTTCCCCGATTCGAAGCAACTTGCAGAATGGGAGCATTTTCAAGAGGAAGCAGCTAAAAGAGATCATAGAAAAATTGGGAAGGTTTGTGTTCTGTTGCAGTTTCCTCATTTTGATCTTCCTCTTTTCAGGAGCAAGAATTGTTCTTCTTCCACGAGCTGTCGCCAGGTTCGTGCTTCTTCCAACCCCGCGGGGCGCACATTTACAATACCTTGATTAACTTTGTAAAGGAGATCTACAGGGATAGGAAATATTTAGAAGTTGTTAGTCCGAATATGTTCAACTCGAAACTTTGGCAGGTCTCAGGGCATTGGGCCCATTACGCTGTAAGTCGAACTTCATTTGCATTGTTTTTGTTATTTAATTTAACAGGAACAATTAAATAAGTATAAATTGCAGAAATGCGGGATACAATGACAGATAAAAAACTTAATCTATTATTTTTCATACACACTTTTATATACAATAATTAACTTATAGCTTAGTGTAAAGAATAGAATAGCGAGACAACCTCCATGTACGTTTTGGAAACCGCATATTTAAGAGTTATAGATGTCGCGCGCGTGTCAATATTACTAAAGTTGCTAAATATACAAAGTATCGCAATTCATTGGGTTCGTGTGTTAGAGAGAGAACACATGATTTTTGCCCAAAAATGGCGGAAGTTACCAGATTCTAGTAACTTTAATGTTAGGGATTGTTCCACCTGTTTGGAGATATCTGTATATATTTTTATCAATGAATAAAGAATATTGGAAGGAGAATATCAACAATATACGTGCGACCGCGATGGCTTTTGCAAATGGCGGACAGTAGTTTCCTGTTCCAGTGGCGTACCTACCTTACAGTTGTAGAAGGATACAATTATAAAGAATGTTAACGAAAACAATCTAAACCCCCATGTGTCTACTCCGCCTATGACTTTTGTTTAACTAACCTCAAACTACATTCCGATAAAAAATTTGTAAATTTACATGTACTATAATTATAAAAATAATATTGGTATCAATACTTACACATGAAATGTAATTCCCAAACTTTTATTTTTTTCTGTTTTGGAGCAACCACAAGCACAACAACTAACCATTCTTTTTATGTCACTGCAACAAATGACTCATAAGTAGCTTTTGCAAATGGCCGACTTCCGTCACACTCTCTCTCGTATACAACTTGATTAATGCTCCTTCCTGGTATTCTTTATTCATTGACAGATATCTCCAAACAGGTGGAACAATCCCTAACATTAAAGTTACTAGAATCTGGTAACTTCCGCCATTTTTGGGCAAAAATCATGCGTTCTCTCTCTAACACACGAGCCCAATGGATTGTGGTACTTTTTATATTTAGTGACTTTAAATATTACCATCCACTAAAGATTGTCTGTAAAAAAATACAGATTCTTTTCTCGAAATTATTACGCTACTCAACGCTAGTACTGTACAGAAATCTGCAACATTGAACATGAATGATAAAATTAAACTACTGCTCTTTTACAGCAAGGTACACAGGACAATGAAGCTATTGTTCATGAGTGGGGGTATGCGATGATGTCATCCAGTATAACATTACAATAAATTCTGTATACACATTCATTTGATTATTTTTGTAGGCAGACTTTTAATCTCCTTTTGTGTGAACTTGATCTTGATAGAGTAATTAATTAGCTTCCTAGCATGTGCTAGGTAGCTATTGCGATAACCGTTTTTTGAATATTTCAAAATTTCATCAAATGTCGACGTTTTAGACCATTTTAAGTAACTTTTAAAGAATAAAATTTTTTTCCGTCTGTATGTACGTACGTACGTACGTACGTTTGTTGGCAATTTTCTGAGAAAGCGGCTCGACGGATTTTGTTAAAATTTTGTATATGTTTTAGGCATACCGAACAGAAAAATAACGGGCCGGATTTTTGAAAAAAAATTTTGGAGCGCCGTAACGGCATCGAACTTTTTTTTTTCAAATAGCAACCTAAAATTTTTATTCTATTATTTGGAAGACCTTATTTTTCTGTGTACAACCTACAAAAAATTGGGCCGGGTTATATTATCAAAAAACGGAGAAAAAAATTGTCAAAGTCAAAAAATTGTGTTGCATATGTGCAAAACGCAACGATCTTGTTTCTGAAGCAATTTAAACGAAATTTAATTTCATCAAATGTTGACGTTTTAGATCACGTTAAGCAACTTTTAAAGAATAAATTTTTCCCGTCTGTAAGTGCGTACATATGTTGGCAATTGTTGGTTTCAGCTAGGAAGCTATTCTGTCAAGAATTTGACACCTGGTTTTTCTTAAAACTCGTTAAAATATTTCCCATTCAAATCTATGCAAAAAAATCTCACCAAATCTGAAATAAGGGCTTTCAATATTTATTATGATTATGGTTTACTTAAGGTTTGGATTTAGAGAATATAGGCAACTGGTGATGCACATGTAATTCAATGGGGCGTGCATTGCCTCTGAACTTCATTCGCCATTTCATAAGCAAGGGGTGTATTTGATCGGAAAAATATGCGTTAGGTAGATAGATGTACAGAGCATAGTTTCCATACAATATAAACTGATATTTCGTCCATTAATATATGTTTATAAAATCTAGAAAAAATGCGTCAAAAGAGTTCATAGTTTAGGAATTAATTGCAAAAATTAGAGAGCATTTTAAGCAATACGAGTGTATGGGATCGGTAGCGTGAATACTTATCTATATTTTGGCAATTCATGTGAAGCTCAAAAGTTTTCATAATAAAAGTGGTGAATGAAGTTCTGAAAAATGGGCATGTAAACTGGAGAAATGAATGAATGAATGAAATTTTTGCTTTTGAAACTGAGGAATACGAAAAAAAATTCTTATGTAGAGACGTATAGTTCACGTAGAATTTAAGTTCTTTGTAAAATGTGGGGTGTGCTTTCAATGGCACTAAAGTGTATTGTGATAAAGATTTACAACTATCTTAAAATACGAAAATGGCTATTTTAAGAACTTTTTCAGTAGTTTTGTTTTGGGCAGAGTGCAGGATCGCAGTCATATACTGGGTGGTGGGTGACTAGAACAACGCACCATAGGAAATTCAATAGTAATTTTTTCATTTCTGATTATGGGCTTTCCTAATTATTTTAGAGATAAAGTCTATTTAGGTTTTCTGTATAGAAAAAATCCCGAATCCATGCATACTATGGTTTTTAATTTGAACTTTAAAACCAAGAAATTGGATAACTAAAAACTGGCGCTTTTAAGCAAATCAGTGGTGCCAATGCCATGGTAGTTTGCGATCAAACAAAGCTCACTAGGCGCTTTTGTTTGATTTCATAATTCCATGGCATTACAGATTTTATAAACGCGTCAGTTTTTAATTTTTAAATTTTTACTGTTTCTGAATTTCATTCCCTTTGTATTATTATTTTTGGGGGGGAGTTAATTTAATGATTAATAAGACTGTAGGATTGATTAGTGATGATATTCAGAAGAAGTTCACCTTTTTTTCCGTAAGCATTGAATAAGCACCTTAAAGAAGTATAACTACTGAGGAAAACCTGAAATTGGAGTAAGGTAAGGTGTGTTGCATACACTGCAAAGTGGTTAATTACCAGGATATTTGGTCTCGGGCGGTAAATAATGACTATTTTAAACAGGGAAACCAGTTATACTTAGGGGCCCTTTGTTTTCCTTGTTTATCAGAGTTGACCAGTGTTGTCATATTTTTCTTTGTTATATCGAAAAGTAGCTTTATTTTATTTTGTTTTTGCACCGAGTATTTCAGTACCTAGTCCGTTTTATTGAAGCGAATGTAACTAGAAATTTGCATCAAAAGCACCTTATATTGAATGTCTACACTAAATGGTAAAAATGTTTGGTTGAATTGCTGGTAAGAAATAATTAAACGACATTGCATGTCAAAACCGTGTATATCTTAAAACTGTTTTTCGAGTTTTTGGCGATTTTTTGGAAGTTTTTCTATAGGAATAATATTTTTTATTTTCTTTTATTAAAATATAAGTCTTCCCAAAAATTTTGCTACACCGCGCACCTCTGTACGATGGAAAAAAAAAGATTTTTCATCCCCTTGAAAAAGAGGTGGTTTTTTTTCAGAAATGGTGAGATCTCGGAAACTGTTCAACTATACGGGCCCAAAACTATCTTCTTTTTTATCATAAAATAATGTATCTTTTCTCCAAATTTCAAACCCCTACGACTTTTTTTCGCAAAAATAAGAATAAAAAAGACGAAAAAAACAGCTTTTCCGGTTTTTTTTTTTAGGAAAATTGGAGGTTATGTGAAAATAGTGCAGATACAAAAATCGTTGATTTTTTTATTCTCTATAACTTTTATATTGAACATTTTAGCCTAAAATTAGTAGTTTTGCCACAAATTGCAAAACACCACTTTCCACCCCTTTCAACCTCCGGGATTTCATCCGCGGAAAAATGCAACTGTTTTAATTATTTTTCCCAAATTTCTAATCATTTCACCTGCATGAAAAACCCGGTTTGCACTGGTAACTAATTTTTTTTGTCAAAAAATATATAGCCTGGTCCATTGAATATAAGGTGCTTATACAATGGTTATACTTTAAGGTGCTTATTCAATGGTACCACCCTACCTAATTACTTAGAATGAAAGTCCGCATTCTAACATTAAATCTGAAATTAATTACATAGATCATTAATGCGCCTAAAATTACCAGATCCTTATATGGAACTAGATAAAGTTTGATTGTTTATGTACAGATAATGGTCCTTAGAACAGTTCTTATTGTTTTCTTATTACATTAAACTACATTTTTTACTTTATTTATTGTTCCTTATGATCTTACATTTCAGATTGATTCTCCCTTACATAATATTGTTATTGGCATTGAATCCTTATTCAATATTTTAATTTAGGTTATTCAAACTCAAAGCGCTTGCCAAAAATCTGGCAACGTTGGAATTTTAAAGAAGTAAAGAAATCTGCAAAGTCGGTAACTAGCTTTAAATTTGTGCTTCACTTTCCCCCACAACAGAGGGGCAACAGAATCCTGGGTAGACTGTGGCTAATGACATTAAGATAACTGTGAAAGATGTTACACTTTCCCCAAGGCCATGTGTAAAAAATTTAGGTCTGCATATTGATGTAGATCTAAGATTTAGAACCCATGTAGCCCATATTGTTCAAAGAGCTTTCAGCAATCAAAAGATCATATATAATAATAGGCCCATACTTAATAAAAGGATAAAAATAATTTTGTGTGAGGCTTTAGTTCTTTCACAATTTAACTACTGTGATGTTATATACGGAGCTTGTATAGATAGTGTAGATATTCGGCGTCATTGTTTATAAACAATGTCGGCGTATACAGAGAATACAAAACTCGTGTACGCGTTTAATTTTCGGAATTCGAAAGTACCAACATATATCTCACACAGTGATGGACCTATGGGGGGGGCAAGGGGGGGCAGATTGCCCCTCCAATACTTAACTAGTTGGCAATTTTGACAAGAGTTGGTAATTTTCATTACCAGTTGGCGAAGCCGCGAAAGTATCGTAAATGTAATAAATCGACTATTGAAGGAATGCGGAATTACGGCAAAACCTATAAAAAAGGAACTCTTTAATAGGAACGTCACTTCCTTTTTCTTCAACACAAGGTTGGTATTTTGGTAATGCTTTTAATTGGTATTAGAGACCGAATACTGGTATCCTACATTTTCTACATGATTTATTTGAATTGGAAATTTTTACAGTTGAATTGGCAAAATGTCATGTTTGCCTCCCCCAATTTTTTTGTTTAGGTCCGTCCCTGATCTCACAAGCTAGAGGCATTAGGTTGGTTAAATATGGCAAATAGACGAAAGTTTCACTCATCTGTACTATTTCACAAAATAAGTAAAGAACCTGCATATCTATTTGATAAGATCCAATTTTGTACAAATTCAAGATATTACCTCTCTAATAAAGCCTCCTTTTCACAGAAGTGCATTATTTGAAAGATGTTTTTGCTATAACATTGCCAAGCTTTATAACGATTTACCTGGTGTCTTAAAAAATATGGCTATCAATATCTGCAAAAAAAACCTGTACACTTTCCTGCTAAAATGTCAAATGTTCCTCTTAGCGTGTGATGAAGTCGTTATTTATTTCATATCTAATACTTTACTTCTTTACTTTTACTATTACTCTTCCACTTACTTCTTTACTGGTTATTTCCCTTTGTCCTTCTTCTTACAAGAATCCCAAATTGTTTCAAATTTTCTTCATAATACATTTTATAAGTTTATATATACCTAATGTTCAACACTATATAAGCAAGCACGCTTATACTAGTTATAATTGTAAAGTCTTTTCTTTTTTTATATTCACATAATTAACTTCACGTATAATTTAATTTAATTTCTACAATGCAAAGGGTTAAGTGGAAGAGCAGAGCTAATGGATTTCCCGTTAGCATCTGAACTTTGCTCTTTTAAATTGTGCACTTGTACATATTATTATTAAGATATTCTTGTTACCTTATATGATTAGCGTGATTTAATAAACGACATGATTATTATTATTATTATTTTCTTATTTCATCAGTTAACACGGGCGTTATACTTCTTTAAGGTGCTTATTCAATGCCGTAAGGTTCTTTCACTATTCTATTCTTACACTATGCTTATAGCTATAGGTTTGTAAATAATTAAACAATGTATTCTAATAATCATTTCTGTTTAGGAAAATATGTTTTCGTTTGATGTTGAAAAGGACAAGTTTGCCTTGAAACCGATGAACTGTCCCGGCCATTGGTAATGTTGCGCCGTAACCGTTAACTTAGAATATCTAACAGTCTCTCTCTTCAGTTTAATATTTGACAACCGCGTACGGTCGTGGAGAGAACTGCCGTTCCGGTGCACCGAATTCGGAATCGTGCACAGAAATGAACTCTCGGGCGCCTTAACTGGCTTGACCCGCGTCCGTCGCTTCCAGCAGGACGATGGGCATATATTCTGCACTGCGGAACAAATTCAAGAAGAAATCACCGAGTCTTTAGATTTCCTGAACTACATGTACGGCACTTTCGGCTTCACGTTTAATCTAGTCCTATCGACGAGGCCCGAGAAATATCTCGGCGATATTGAAATGTGGAATCAAGCCGAGAAGGTAACCTGTAACTTCTTCAGCTTGAATACTAAAGTTGTCTTTCAGGCCTTAGAAAACAGCTTGAATGAATTTGGTAATTCGTGGACTTTAAATCCTGGCGACGGTGCGTTTTACGGTCCAAAAATCGATATAATCGTTATGGACGCTTTGAAACGATCCCATCAGTGCGGAACCATTCAGCTGGACTTCCAGTTGCCTATTCGATTCAATTTATCATACATCAGGTTTGGCTCGCATTGTCAATTGTAACGGGACTAAAGTTAGCGTTGTAGTGAATCTGGAGACAAGAAGAGGCCGGTCATTATACATCGTGCATTGCTAGGCTCGGTTGAGCGTATATTTGCCATTCTCACCGAACATTATGCCGGCAAATGGCCATTTTGGCTATCACCAAGGCAGGTCATGATTGTTCCCGTGGGTCCCGCGTATGATGACTATGCCACGGAAGTTCAGGACAAATTGTACAAGGCCGGTTTCATGGTGGAAGTCGATACTGATCCCGGCGACACTATGAATAAAAAAATCAGAAATGCGCAATTAGCTCAGTTTAATTTTATTCTTGGTACGGTAAGCGTTTATTTTCCAAGCTAATTCACTTTTTTTTGCAGTTGTCGGTGAGATCGAGAAAGGTAGTGGAACCGTTAATGTACGTACACGAGATAATGTCGTACACGGTGAAGTCCCAATTGCGACCCTTATAGAAAAATTGAGTTTATTGAAGAACAAACGTGTCCTTTCAGAGGATTTCTAAACCTGTGCATTCATTCCTGTGTTTTAGTTAGAGGTTATAGTTTTTAGTAATTTATTCTTAAATTAAAAACTTGGCTGAATTGCTTCTTTTCGTACAAACAATATACTGCATTTTTGTCAATAAACATCTTAACAGGAAAAAATTAATATTATCTTTGTTAGTTTGCCTGTTTTTTAAATATAGTATTTGTATTTGAAAGTACAAATACTTTTAGAAGTATTTAAATACTTTAAAAAGTATTTAACTCCTTTTGGACCATTTAAATACTTTTGAACTATTTAAATACTTTTGCGGCATTTAAATGGTCTAAATATTTTTATCGGGTTTCGGAAAAAAGTAGCGCCTATATATTCGCTTCGGTTGGTCGGTCGGCTGCAATAATTTTCGAAATATTTAAATACTTTCAAAGTGTTTAAACAATACTTTGTATAGGATTTATATACACTTTCTAAAGTAGTTACTACTTTACAAATTATTTAAATTGAAATACTTTTTAATAATAATAATTTTTATTCGTCCCTTGAACTAAAGCGTTGTGGGATATGTCATTACAACACAGAATGCAGCAAGTAAAAACAACTAAATAACAATATACAAATAAACTATTTGTATTTAATATTTTGCTTATGTTGCTTCAAAAAGTATTTAGGTAATATTTAAATAGTTTTGATTTTTGAAAAGTATTTAAATAAGTACTTTCAGAAGGTATTTTGCCCAGGTCTGGTTACAGCCAAAAAAACAATTAAAGATCAAATGTATTAGGTGCATCAAATAATTCAAAATGTTAAATGAATACCAAATCTTATTACACATTCTCGAACTGCGCTTCCCAGTGATGCATTGTACATGTCATAATTAGAAACCGGATTTCATGCTTTTATGCATTACGTAAATATTGTATGCAGCTCAAAATAAATCAATAATTAATACGAACTAACAAAAATGAATCACATTGTCGCAAAGAAAATAGTGCATATTTAAGAAAGATTAGCGTTTTATTAACTTTTTAAACCATTTTTGTTTTTATTACAAAACAAGTTTCCAGTAATTGCAACAATTATATCTTTATTTATAAATTATAAAGATAAACAAATAATAAATCAAATAAGATTATGAAATAGAAACAGAACAAAAGAAAACAATAAAAATAGAAAACAAATAAAAAGAAAAAAAAATAAGTGAAATACAAAGCGCCCAAGTTTGTCAAATTATAAAACGTCGGCGGTGTTCAATTCAGCATTAATTTATAATGCAAGCAGCACATTTTTCAAATTCAATAAATGAGATGACGAATATTGGCTGGGGAAAATGTTGAATTAAAAAAATTTCAACGATTTTTTGTGCATTATTTAATTGTTCATGCATATTTTTTGTGCATATTGCCTTTTGACGCGTTTTCATGCATATAAGTCCGGTCCCTAGTCATAATCGTATCTAATCTAATCATAAATCAATTAAAAAAGTAAACAAAATAAATTATTTGTCACCTTACAGTAGCGCAATGTTCCTTATTCTTGACAACAATATAAATGCAACAACATGAACAAATGTACAATATACATCAAGAATATCCATCTTTTCATCATTAGAATAATTTATTATCACCCATTTCATGATATTAAGATAAAGATGCGTATCAATACACTCCATGAATTTAGCAATAAGGCTATAGTCGAGAGCTGGTGACAGTGTGACACGCCTATGCCGAAATTATAAAGAAACCACTAATATTACTATAGGTGCATGTGGAATGCCGAGTCTGGTAATGCGGTTATTCCACCATTGCCCAGCCTATTAGATTTGCAAAAAAATATCTTTTAGGCAAGTTCAAGTATTTTTACCTTGTAGCTTTAGTAGCTATGTAATACATAAATACTCCCAGACTAATTTTTGGTTCATAAAGTATGACCAGCCCCCCCCCCCCACCATTTATTGAAATAATATACACAAAAATATACTTTTAAGCATCCTACAATTTTTGTGGCATATTCAATATAAGCAATTTTAAAAATACAGTGTCATTTGAAAGGATGACAAAAATTCAATTTTTAAGATGAATCTGGTGGGTTATTTACAAACAAAGTCGGTTTATTTTTCTTGAATGTGTACATCCCTACTTGTTTTGCTTTTAGAAATTAGTTCGTTTAAGTTATTAGATCCGTAATTTTATCGCATTTATAATTTATTCATACAAATAAAACTGTGTGTGTGAACTTTGGTAGGGCTAAGCAAGAGCTCGTAACCCCAAGTGTTAGTCTAAATACTAAGTTTTTAGGGATTTTTATAGATGACGATTTGTCATGGGACCAACAATTAAGAATGTGTGTAAAAAACTTAACAGAGCTTATTATGTGTTACGAAACTTGAAAGCATGTCTTGACATAAATTCATTAGTTACTGTGTATTACGCGCTCGCATATCCTCATTTAGCATACAACGTTGTGACCTGGGGGGCAGCTGTCGACAAAAACAGAGTCTTCATCCTACAAAAAAGGATAATGCGATTAATTTTTAATGTAAAACCGACAATTTCTCTTAGGAATGTTTTCATCAATAGGAAAATTTTATCATTTCCCAGCATTTACATCTATAAGCTTTGCATCTTCGTGAAAATGAATAGTCATATTTTTCATCCATTAAATGCTAAGCATGACTATCATACACGCAACAATGGGGTACTTACCATACCCTACCATTGCACAGCGAAGTATGAAAGGGGTCCATATTACAATGGAGTTAAAATGTACAATGCACTCCCTTTATATATTAAAAACATCACAAACATTAAGAAGTATCGAACGAACCTAAAAAAATACTTAGTCGAACGTTGTTTTTATTCAATGAGTGATTTTTAATTGTAACATGTACTTTAGCGTTTACACTGTCCTAAATGACTTTAAAATTTTAAATGTCCATGTTTAAATGTATGACGATGTCTATGTCAAGGTAGTTGATCACAGATAATACAGTTATTATTATTATTATTATTCAATTTAGATAAGGTAGAAGTGAGGCACAACTGGTTGATTTTGCCTGTTTTAAAATATGTTACACCTATATTATTAAGTCTTTTTCTGAGCTATTTGTGAGAAAGCACTGAAAGGGAATTCTGTAAAGATTCTAGACAGTACTTAATATTTTTGTATTGTAGACTTCGTGGCCTTTTTTGTACTTCTAGCAGTATTTCCTTTTCTCCTCTCCCCGTTCCTAAACATTCCCAATTACCGTTGGCTGGGTATAGAGATTCTGAAACGCTTTGTAGTTGATCTTTTTGCCGCACGATAGTGGTACAACAGACACAGAAATAATAGGATGTGAATGTTGTGCACAATTTATAGGTTAAATATTTGTTTATCTGTATTAATATAAGGAAATTATCTCTTAAGTAATGAATTTATCAATAAAAGCTGCACTTGGAACGTACAACACCCACAGATGGGTTGTTAAAATGTTCCAACGACAGTATTCCAAAGCGGTTAGTAACGTAACCTCATTATTTTTATTTTTAATTATCTCGATCATAATAAATTAACCTATTTGTTGTAGGTATACTCATATAGTTAATGTACTTTTAGGCTTCCAAGATAAAAGATATGAAACATGAGAAAGTGGAGAAAAGCGGTGCCATACAATTTAAAAGGTTGCCCGAGTTTGTTCAGCAACGGGAATTGCTCTGGAACAAACTGAAGGAGAATTACAATCGGGAATTGGTAAATAAGCCGCAACATCCCATTAAAGTTTCGCTATCGGACGGCAAACATATCGATGCCGTGTCTTGGCGAACGACCGCTTTCGATGTCGCTAATCATATCAGGTATGGCATTGAATTTAAAATGGTAATGTCTAGGTGCAAATACCATTTGGGTTTGCGAAATGTTGTTTTAAGGTGGGGAAACAGCGTTAAATTTCTGTTTTAACTAAAAATGATAATTGGAAAAGTATTGCGTAGCAGCAAATGAGTCGGAAATGACTGTATTGTTTATTTATTATGTTTATCAAATATGAATAATTAGATGTATGATAATAGGTCATTAACACATATCTGAAACGTTGCAATTATACCAACAGAGAAAGAGTATGCCCATAAAATTTTATTCCTATTTTTAATTGTATTGCATCATTTTATTAGGTGCCCAAATTTTCTTTTATTGACTTATTTTTAGTACATGTCCAAAAATAAAGAAAAGCGCTCATTTGTTCAGTATCACACAGAAGGGCAGTAGATTCCTCAAGATCGTTTATAAATTTATATCTGTCTGTCTGTCCGTGTGCACAATAACTTTGCTTAGAAACATCTGATCGCTATGAAAATTGGTCGTCATTGGTTTTTTTTAAATAATAATAATAATTTATGGTCTTTTCAGCTACTATCGGGCCAAAAAGTTACAGCCCAAAAACGATCTCGAGCATTGCTCGGTATTCGGTTGTATCAGATTTTTTTTGTTAACTAGCGCTTCATAGCGAACGTGAACAAAACTATGTCTGGCGATAACAAAAAATGTATAGCGGAAAGCGAGCGCGGGTGACACGATCTCTTGGGACATAACAGTTTCGTTTATTAAACCCGAGCACGTGACGAAAATGCAGGTTTTGAGAGAGCGGTTCTACGCTGGTTTTCGCGAGCCGTCACGTACGACGTTAGGTACGCGAATTTTAATTCTTAGAGAAGTTACGAGTGTGAGCCAGCACCAATTTGAGTGTTTATTGTATTTATTGTTAAGAAGCGGATCCAAACAAAGGATTTTGGTTATCTTGCTTAATTTTTGGGGAATTTTGCATTTAATTTCAGTGATACAGTTCCCTTGGTTGGATTAAAATTTTGTTGCGCACTCAAGGATGTGTGTTTATTTTAAAAAGGAGCTAGGTTGGGGGTATAAGAACATTCTTATTACTGAGCTAGCTATGGGCAGAATAAAAAATTAATTGTCGTTGAAGTTTTTGCCAGTGTCGTAGAGGCTCAATTTGATTGAATGCAAGTGGGGTCTTCAACCCTTGTAAATGTAATATTCAAAAAAAGACATACTCCTTGAGAATATGTAACGAAAACTAGTAGTTGCCATTAGAAAAATATATATTCTCCCCTTGTCATTCAGACGTACGCCACTGACCTCAAATTTAAAGTACTTTTTATAATTTTTGATACCACAAAAAATCTTGTTTGAAGATACGAGTAGGTATATTCAGTGTTCCAGACAAAATGTTTACCCTGTATAGCGGTGTTTATACTGCTGCTCAATAGAGGGCGATATTAAGTATTCCTAAATCACTGTATACCTAAATAGTATATTTGTGTTACCTTGTTTGTGTATTGATTTTCTAAACCGGTTACAAAGCATCCTAGGCTCTTTCAATCTCTTTCTAGAGGCATTCTAAGGAGTATAAAATGAAGTTTTAGAAATCTAAGGAGCATTTGAGAGGGGTAAGCGCCCACTAAGAGCTTTTTTTGAGAGCTTTTTTGGGCATTTTAGCGTCTTGGTGCTTTCTACTCCCATTAAATGAATTCTAGACACACCTCGAGACACACCTATTTGTAGGACGGTTTTCAAAACGTCTCAAAAGGACATACGGAGCCCCAAAAGGCAACTAAAGAGATTCTGGAAAGTGATAGAGGGTTCTAAAAAGTCTTTTAACGCCTTCTGGAGTCTTCCATGTTAAAGTCAGTTAAAGTTAGTGTTAGATAAAAAATAATAGGCGGCGTATTTCATAGTTTTAGAAAGATTAGAATTTTTACCGTAACTGTCACATGTAATAACGCACAATCTTGTAATCAATAATATCATTTTCATTAAAGTTTAACGTTGAATTATATTAGGTTATGGGCCCAGACCTTCGTTTTAGTGTTTTTCCGTTTCGAATTGTGTATTTGTGAAGTATTGTTAAATCCACACATCAGCAGCAGAATGGATTTAGCAAAGCACATTAAACCATTGACTGGTGAGTCAGACTGGCCAATATGGAAAAGGAAAATTCGTGATTTACTTGATTATCATGAGGGAGCGTTAGATGTTATCGATAAGAAGCTAGAGAAACCGACTCCGCTTAGTGCTAATCCAACACGAGGTGAAGAAAAAGCATTTAAAGCTACAAGTGATCTGTATCGAAAAGCAAATAGTTATGCCAAGTCAATGATTACAAGTACAGTTTCTGACACAGTTTATCAGAAAATCATGGACAAGGTTACGGCGCATGATGCTTGGGAGGCGTTAAAACAGCAGTTTGAAGCTACATCCAAAGATCAGCTGTTCAAGATTTGTACAGAGCTATTTTCATTTGGTTGGACATCGGGCGAGGATGTTTCCACACACGTAGCCAAGCTCAAGAGTCTATGGACCGAGCTGAATAACGGGTTAAAAGCTAAGAATGAAAATCCACTCCCAGATCTACTATTGGTATGTAAAATTTTACATATTTTACCTAGTAGTTTTGAGAATTTTAAATCGAGTTGGATGCTGTTAACGAAAGATGAGGTTAAAACATTCGACGAATTAACCATGCAGATTATTATTTTCGAACGAAATATAAGACAGCCTTCAAGTAATGATAGTGATAAACAAGTAGCCTTGTTGGTTAAGTCAAATAAGCAGACAAAGAGGGGTACCGACAATTTCAATTTTGTATCGAAACTTAAGAAAGAAGATACCTGTAATTACTGTCAAAAGAAGGGTCACTGGGTGAGAAGTTGTAGAAAATGGATCGCAGATGGTCGTCCTAAACGTAGTAGTAGCAGTAGTAATGCTGCAGAGTCTCAGGTCGCTTTAGTCTCAATAGATAATGAAGTTTTAGCTACTGAACCAAATTCAGAGGATTGGTTTGTGGATAATGGGGCTACTAAGCATGTAACTAGTCGTTCTGATTGGTATTGTACGTTTGATGAGTTTAAAGATCCGCGCACAATTAAAGCAGCTGGAGAAGAACGTTTGATTGCTATCGGAAGCGGTACTATCAAGGTCTCTTCAATTGTCAATGGGAAGAACCAACATATTTTATTGAAAGATGTTTGGTACGTTCCGAAAATTTCGAGAAATTTATTTTCACCATTGGCTGCCCATGATAAAAATTTAAACAGTGAATTCGGATCCACCGTAACCACTTGCTCGTTTTTGGTAAACGGCATCACAGTGTTGAGTGGTATTCGAGAGAAGTTTGGATCATTGTATAAGGCAAATATTAGTCCAATTTTGTCCCAAGACAGGGCATCAGTAAAAATAGTAGAAGCAAACGATCATTTACAGTTATACCATGAAAGGTGGGGTCATCAGGATAAGCGTTACGTCAAGAAAAAGCTTGAACAAGAGTTTAATCTTAAAGTTAAGTTTGACGATACAATATGTGAACCGTGCGTATATGGTAAGGCGCATAGACTTCCATTTGGTAACAGAAAAAGTGCCTCACAACCGGGAGAACTTATTTCGGTCGATGTTTGTGGACCCTTTTGTGAGTCTTTTCAGAAAAAACGTTATTTAGTGGTATTTAAGGACAGTTATAGCTATATCGTTACGGTTTTATTATTAAGTATAAATCTGATGTCAAAGTAGTTTTAGAACAAATGCTAACGCATGCAGAAACTCAGGGTCACTTCATTAAAGAGCTACTCAGCGACAATGGAGGTGAATTTGACAACGCAGATGTTCGAGAAATCTTGCAGAGACGGGGTATCACACAGCGATTGACAGCACCGTATACACCACAACAAAATGGCGGTAGTGAAAGAGAAAATAGAACAATTGTCGAGATGGCACGTACGTTCAAGTATTCCAATTCTGATGTGAAGTTTCCGGACGCGATTTGGGCTGAGTTAGTTACAACAGCGATCTACATTCTGAATAGGACTGGGAAGTCGTCAAAAGATGGTATTACTCCATATGAAATTTGGTGTAAGAAGAAACCCAGGATAAAACACCTTCGAATCATCAGTTCGGCCTGCTATATCCATGTTCCAGATCAGAAAAGACGAAAAATGGATAGAAAAGCTGAAAAAGGCTACTTAGTTGGTTATGATGGAGATGAACGATATCGAGTGTACGTTCCAGAGAAGAAATGCGTTGTTTTATCTCGAGATGTAAAATTTAATGAAGTAACTCAAGAATGCGAAGAAAAAGAAAAAGTATTTTTCAGGAATAGATTGTCAGAAGAAGATGAATCAGAAAAAGAAGACCAGATTGATAAACCAGAAATTACTCAACCTGAAGGCAGCACAAGAACTAAAGAAAGCAAAGAAGAAAGTGATGATGAGTGCAGTAGTGAATATAACAATGAAAGATCGTTACGTAATCGAGAAATTATCCGCACTCCAAAGTATCTTGAAGATTACGTTATGGCGATGATGACAGAGCTCCATCCTCAAACATATGAAGAAGCTATACAAGATAAAAATCGTGCATCTTGGAAAAATGCCATGGACAATGAAATGGCTTCCTTGATGGAAAATAGCACATGGGAATTAGTAAAATTACCCACAGGTGGTAAAGCAATTGCTTGTAAGTAGGTTTATAAATTAAAATTAAATCCAGACGGAAGTATTTTAAAATACAAGGCAAGATTGGTCGCAAAAGGATACAATCAAAAGAAAGGTATTGATTACAATAATACTTTCAGTCCAGTTGCAAAGTTGCAAACTATTCGTTTGATACTTGGTATTGCTGCAACAGAGAAAATGCATTTGGCCCAATTTTATGTCTCAACTGCATTTTTATATGGAGAGCTGGAGGAAAAGATCTTTATGAAACAGCCAGATGGATACGATGATGAGTCTGGTAGAGTCTGCCTACTCAAAAGGAGTTTATATGGACTAAAGCAGTCGCCTAGATGTTGGAATCATCGTATTGGAAAATATTTACAAAAATTACAGTTTAGAGCCAGTAAAGAAGAACCATGTATGTTTGTTAAAGAGAAAAATGGTGCTAAGATAGTTTTAGCATTATATGTAGATGATGGTCTTATTGCTGCTACTCATAAAGAAGATCTTGAAGAATTTATCCACCAACTTAGAACAGAGTTCAAGATTACCTCAAATGAAGCAACATATTTCTTGGGTCTTGAAATTGAAAAATCACAGAATGGAAATATCAAGATTAGCCAGAAATCGTATGCTCAGAAACTACTTGAGCGTTTTAATTTTGTTGAATGCAAGTCAGTTTCTACACCAATGCTTTCAAGTTCAGGAAGTTCGAATTCAGGGAAAGCATCAGAAAAAGAAGTCATATTTCCATATCGACAGGTCGTTGGTGCGATCATGTACCTTATGTTAGGCTCGAGACCAGATTTAGCCTACAGTGTGGGATTTTTATCCAGGTCATTAGAAAACCCTACTATTGATGATGTAGCGAGAGCTAAAAGAGTCCTTAGGTATATAGCTGGGACTATTGATCTTGGTATAGTATATCAAAGTAACGCTAAGAAGGGAGCGTTCGAATGCTACAGTGATGCTGATTTCGGTGGTTGTAGTAAAACCTAAAACAGGTCGTTCAACATCAGGAGTACTGGTCAAATATGCCAATGGAGCTGTTTCTTGGATTAGTCAGCGACAAGGTTCCGTAACAGAATCTACAGCTGAAGCAGAAATCGTAGCTGCAAGTGAAGCCGCAAAGGAAGTTATTTGGCTTACTCAACTTTTGCAAGAAATTACATTTTTAAAGGAAATTCCAGTTATCCAGATTGACAACGCAGCAGCCGTTAGACTTTCTGAGAATCCCGAAAATCATCGCAGAACCAAGCACATCCAAAGGAAACACTTCTTTATTCGTGAGCATGTTAGTGAAGGCACTTTGGTTGTAGAAAAGGTTTCATCTGAACATCAGGTAGCTGACATTATGACCAAGTCTCTCGCTCAAACAAGATTACATATCCTTTGTGTAAAGATGGGACTTGTATAATTATTAATTTTTATCAAACAAGGGAAAGTGTTAAAGTCAGTTAAAGTTAGTGTTAGATAAAAAATAATAGGCGGCATATTTCATAGTTTAGAAAGATTAGAATTTTTACCGTAACTGTCACATGTAATAACGCACAATCTTGTAATCAATAATATCATTTTCATTAAAGTTTAACGTTGAATTATATTATTCCAAGGCGTCATAGTGCGGGGTTCAGCGCTTCATTTTCATTTTGCTGTTTTTTAGAGGTTCTATTCGTTTTTTGACCTCTTTAGATCTTTAGAGTTTTGGTTTTGCCAAAATTGGACATAAGACACGAAATCGAATGTGTCGCATTTTTTCCGGGAAATGTGACGGTGTTTATTCGAGAACTTGCAAGGACGTTTGCTATATAAAATTGTGTTTCACTCAGTCTTAACATTAAGGTCTAATGAAACAATAAGCTCCCGCTCGTGTTATGTTATAAATTGTGGGTGATAAAAAATAAAACTTGCTAAATTGCGACGAACTTGGGGTAGTTCGCGCACAGTCGGTGAGGTTTTAAAATTAAAGATTCATTAGTGGAATAATAATCTCAATTTAATTAAAAGAAAAATAAATAAGCATACAAACTATATTAATTAATGTAATAATCGGCGGCAACCGAGGTGTCTCTGTCGGCGGAACGAACAAACGGGCGGACGGACTCGCGCCTGGTTGAGGTCGGCGGTAGCAGCGATCTGGCGGGTCGGTCGTGGTCAATCGGAGAAACGGCAGCTGCAGGACTCGGACGGGTTCAGAAAATGGCGGCGCTAACTTCGGAAAAACTAAAACAAAATTGCGGCGAACTACTTAGTAACGAAGCGCCCAACTTAAAACGCTTCTAGATACAGGGTGTTCAGCAAAGCTGGTCGACTCCACAAATATACGGTGTGGTCATAACTTCGGGTATGAACTTCAGGGCGGAGAACAGGTGCTTACGTTACAAAATTATAATTCCCGAGTCCAACCAGTTTGTCCCTAAATAGAATCGATTGCAATATGATGCGCACTCACAAAGAATCACAACAACAACAAAATACTTTTTTCAAAAAACCTTATTTTTTAGTCCAAGCTTTGCCGAAACTGTGATAGTAGCAAAAGTAAACGGAGTGCTGTGGGACTTAAATAGGCCGCTAGAAGAAAACTGCCATTTGGAACTATTAAAATTTGATAATGACGAAGCTAAGTCAGTATTTTGGCATTCGTCCGCACACATCTTGGGAGAAGCTCTAGAACGAACTTTTACCGGCTACCTCTGTTACGGTCCGCCGATTGAGGCTGGATTTTATTACGACATGTATCTGCACGATAAAACAGTGAGTATATTCAACGTACAGCGACGCTTAGAGTTTTCCCCAGATATCGTCTACAGATTTTCCTCAATTAGAAAAATGTATTAAAGAAATTATAAATGGAAAGCAAAAGTTCGAAAGACTCGTCGTCCGAAAAGATGATCTTTTCGAAATGTTCAAATACAATCCGTTTAAAGTACGGATATTGAATGAGAAAATCAATTCGCCCACGGCTACCGTGTATCGGTGCGGATCTCTAATTGATGTCTGCAGGGGTCCCCATGTTCTCCATACTGGCAAAGTGAAAGCTTTTAAATTAACAAAGGTAATTCGACGGGCCAGTATTCGTAACGTTTGAGATATTGTAGAATTCGTCGACCTATTGGGAGGGAAATTCGGAATCGGAAACCTTGCAGAGAGTTTATGGCATAAGTTTTCCCGATACCAAGCAGTTGCAAGAATGGGAACAGTTTCAGGAGGAGGCCATTAAAAGAGATCACAGACGGATAGGAAAAGTAAGTGCCGTGTTAAGTCTAATCTTGGCCGCTTCTTTGCCACTGTAGGATCAAGAATTGTTCTTCTTCCACGATTTATCTCCGGGTTGCTGTTTTTTCCAACCGCGAGGAACTCGCATCTACAACACACTTATTGAATTTGTCAAAGAACTGTATCGGGAACGAAAGTACCTAGAAGTGGTTACCCCTAACATGTTTAATGCGAAGTTGTGGGAGAAATCGGGCCATTGGGATCTGTACGCTGTAAGTGCACTCAGCTGTAAAAAAAAAAGAACACTACACCTTGCCTCATTTTAGCACAACATGTTTTCATTTAACGTGGAAAATGACACCTTCGCCCTAAAACCGATGAATTGCCCTGGCCACTGGTAGGTGGTGCTTTTACCATAGCCCCTTTACAAAACCCCATCTTTCTCTCTAGCTTAATATTTCAACAACGCGCCCGCTCGTGGAGAGAACTGCCCTTTAGATGTACCGAATTTGGTGTAGTTCACAGAAACGAACTGTCCGGTACACTGACTGGTCTAACGCGCGTGCGTAGATTTCAACAGGACGATGGTCACGTGTTCTGCGGTATCGATCAAATTCAAGGCGAAATAACCGAATCGTTAGACTTCCTGAATCGTCTGTATACCACTTTCGGCTTCACATTTAATCTGGTCTTATCGACGAGACCCGAAAAGTTTTTGGGCGACGTCGAAATTTGGGATCAAGCCGAAAAGGTCTGTACGCGATAGGTAGCATGACGTACTTGACTGTCAATTTTAAAGGCGTTGGAGAATAGCTTAAATCTCTCAGGATATTCGTGGTCTTTAAACCCTGAAGATGGCGCGTTTTATGGTCCTAAGATTGATATCATCGTATTGGACGCGTTAAAACGCTCGCATCAGTGCGGAACCATACAGCTCGATTTTCAACTACCAATCAGATTTGATTTGTCATATAAGAGGTAGGTGTATAACCCTCAGCCGCAGTAGACATAGATTTCTAGCCCTACAGGAGAGAAGAAACGTCCCGTTATAATCCATCGAGCGCTTCTAGGATCGGTCGAACGCATTTTCGCCATTTTAACTGAGCACTACGGAGGAAAATGGCCGTTTTGGTTATCTCCCAGACAAATAATGGTCATTCCTATAAATGCCAATGTACACAGTTACGCGATGGACGTGGAACGGAAACTGTACGAGGCAGGTTTTATGGTCGAAATAGATCTCGACCAAGGCGATACGTTTAATCGGAAAATTCGAAATGCCCAGCAAGCTCAGTTTAATTTTATACTTGGTGAGTTTGGATCATGTATCGACAGAGTGCGTCAAAGATTCCCATTTCACAAGAAAGTACATAAATAATAATGTCCATTGATTACATTGCTGCGGTATAACATTTTTTTACAGTTGTAGGAGACAAGGAGCAAGAAAATAATTCCGTAAATGTAAGAACGCGAAACAATGAAATTTTTGGGGAAGTATCGCTAAGCAGGCTAATCGAAAGTTTGCAGCAACTTAAAAAGGATCGTGTTATTGAAGATACTCTGTAAATTTCGTGTTAAGTGGTTATAAATTTATTTATTGTTATTACAACGTGTTTTTTAATTCTTCCCCACTTCCACTAGGTCAGTAAAATCCTCTCCCTCAAATTAAATGTAACACCAATAAGAGGCCGTGTCGCGTTCGAGCAGATAACACTTAAATGAACTCGACCAAATGTTCCTTAATTCTAAACAACGCAATTTTAACATCTCAATATGTAAACAAGGAATTAATCAATTAAAAACAAAGCTAAAATGGACAAATAGGTACTAAAAGTACAAATTCTGATTAAATAATGCTTATTCGTAATAAAATTCTCCAGATTTAAATTGACCAGAAAAACATTTACACATACAGGATGGCTCATTCGGCATTTTTCCACGTCCATCTGACGTTTACACAATGTACATAACTTTGTTATTTAATTGAAAGTTACAGGAAATATACTATGTGCAGTGTAATCGAATTTTGCATGTCAACTTTAATTTGTAGCTAATTTTGTTAAGAATTTAAAAAAATGTGCTATTGTTTGCGTTTTGTCTGTCAGTCCGCCCAGATCCAGTTCTATTGTGTTGAACTACTTTTAGGGGATTGGTCCTAGAACCGCGTAACTTACGACGATGCACACATGTCTGACAGTCGGCAACCACGCAATTTTTAGGAGGGAAAAAGCTGTCTGCACCATATGGAGAGCACGAACGTTGGTTACGTTTAGCATCTTATTGTTTTTAATGTTTGTTGTTATTTAATGCAAGTAGTAATCTTTGCATTTCTTTATATCGTATTTGTGTCTTGTATGCAGCATTTTATATTTTTTGCGAGTTTCAATCTTTGTTTTTGAAATTTATTTGATTTAACCGTAATGCAGAATCACATATTTGATACCGTTATCCTTTTGTTTTAAATCGTTTACATTTTTGGTGTAATGTTTGCTTAATTTATGTTTATGCTTTGATTACATGGTCTTGACCACAAGAAATATTCATATAAGTTTTAATCAATCTTTTAAACATTGGGAAAATTGTTTTGATGTGTGTATGCGTACTGACTGGTTGTTTGTAATCTAACATTTTCTCCGCGAATGAAGCAGTTACAGGGGTGGCAAAAACTAATTAAATGTGTTACGACACTAATCCAGTGAATGTGTTCGACATGTAACTGTAGGCTCGAAACTCCGAACGAGGGGCGAGTTACATATCTTGGGGGCAAGATTATGCTAATAAAAACTCTTCGGTTTAGAATGTATGTGTGGTATATGAGCTGCGATTCAATTATTTCCACATATTTTGTCGTAACATTGAATTTACCTACAAGGCCATGTTATTTTCCATCTTGATTCTCTTAACCAGAGGATTTTATTGCACCAAAGATGAGTGCCATCCTGTATATTTCACCCTTTCTTACAATCTTGGTACCTGCTTACCTACCTGACATATTGTCCCTAAATGTTACCTCTGATTGGCCAATATTGTTGTTTTAATTTTATGTTATGCATTCACATCATTACAAACAAAAAAATGAATTGGTTTGTAGAAACTATAACTAACTCGCACGACTCCTTTTCGCGAGCAGAGGGAGTTGGGGGCCCTCTAGTAGCATTGAATATAATTTTGACGATTGGGAAATCTGGAGGAAATATATCCATTGGTGATGTCAAGGTGCGAATATCTCGAAAACGGTTTGTCAGAGGAAAGTACTCTCAAATTTTCTGGACGAGATAGACCGACTGGCGAAGTCGAAACGAAGTGTCTGTCGGAAGAGGGTACTCATAAAGGGCATGTGCACGTCAGGACGAGACATATCTATTGGTAATGTAAAAACTTTCAGTGCAAATATCTGCAGAACGGCGGGGCGGAGGAGAGGGTGCTCTCAAAGAGCGGTAAGATCGTCTAGACGAGACACATCTACTGGCTATGTAAAAACTTAATTGTGAACATTTCGAAAATGTTGGAGAAAGGTATCTATAAAAGGAAAATGCTCAATATTTTATCGAAGAGCTTAATTCTTCTTCTATTATACATATATATAGCGTAGATTGTAATGTATACCAGGCGGCCTTTAAATGTTTATGTATAAAGAGACCCCCTCTTCATTAATCATTTACCAAGAAGGTAAACATTGATAAATATAGCATGCTACTACCTTATAATCAAATCATTTACTATGGTACTATGGCTTTATTTGGCTATGATGTACTACAACCACTTTTTTGCCGATTGAATATGGAGGGGTTGGGGGGGGGGGCTAAATTGCACTTAATTGAGTTCTCCTAACCCTTAATAAAGATTATTAGGTACTATTACAGATTGAGTCAAATTTCCCCTGAGGGATAATCACACATATTAAAACAATGGTCAAAATTTATATGAATATTACTTCAGGTCAAGACCATTTAATCCATACATAAAAATAAATTAAGCAAACATTACACCAAACACGTAAACTATTTCAAACAAAATGTTAACGATATCAAATACGTGATTCTGCATCGAGGTTAAATCAAGTCAATAGAAAAATAAGGTCGAAAATTATAAAATGCATTAAAAAACATAAAAATAACAACAAACTTGAACTGCACGACGCTTTCGCATGACGATAGTTGTTGCCAAGATGCTGTTATGTAGCAATGGTGCTCTCGAGATGGCGCAGACCGCTTTTCTTCAGTCTTGCATGCTAATATGCTATAATAAACGCAATATTGATAGGTATATTTTGCAATAACCTTGCACAAAAAAAATATATTGTCTGTAATTGGTGTTTCCATATACAAGTTTTATCCATAGTCCTTTACTTTAAAGAATTTACACATAGAGAGACATGGAGAAAAATCCATCCCGACTACAAATTATTAAAATTACAAACAACAAAACAGTTTATTCACATTGTTTTTATAAAATTATCATAATGCTTTAACATAACTTGCATATCAGTGTAATTTCCAAATCTACAAGCCTCCTCTAACTCTAACCATTTAAAATCTTGGTGCTCATCAGACAATCTCACCCCAGCGCTTGGATTAATTAATTCCGCTAACCAATAAATAACAATCTTCGGTTTCCCGCGTACATTATAATTGAGAATATGCTTAGAGTCGTGAAATATGTTCAAATCCGACTGTCGCAAACCGGATTCTTCGCTCGTCTCTCGTAATGCCGTAACCATCGGATCGGTTTCGCCGGGATCGACATGACCTGCGTTACGTAATATTTTTAATGTGTTATTGTTAAATTATGTTACCCTTTGGAGGAGTCCAATGGTGTTCCCCGTAAGATGTTTGTAACAAAAGGTACTGAATTGCATTTAAATGCTTGCGGAAGATCACTAAACCTGCTGCAGTTTTTGTCATGTTATGTAGGAATATGGAGCAAGTCCTTTAAGGGGAAAACTATAAATTATGGCATATAATCTAAGAACATTAATCGGATTATCACAGTAATTTCACCTTAACCTAAAATACATAAATAAATAAATGTACAGCGTGTCCCGTAAAACATGAACCCGCAGCTCCCCCTGTATATTACATGTAGTGTGTCCAGAAAGTTTGATCCGATTTTTAAATTACATTCTGCTTTCTAATTGTGAACTTAAAAACGGCGTATCGGAAGAAGGTATAATACTGAGTAGGATTCCGGTCACAAAACACCTGATGCAAATCCTACTCCACTCTGCTGTATTTTATATATAATAATATATTATATACCTACCAAGGTCGAGACAGGATAGTGTAGTCAAGCAGGCCATTATTTATTGTTCTGTGATTGACATACTTTCAACGAGTAGTAATTTGGTTTGAATCTTTTCAAAATGTAATAATTTTAAGTACCTATGTAGTTTCTACGGAAGTTGCAACTCTTGATTTTAGAGAGATCTTGTCTAAATGTTTATTGAGCCAAATTTTGGGTAGTCATGATCTCTGAAAGTGGGCAGTGTGACAATTCCCACTATTAACCACTGCTTAATAATGATTTCATTATAAATGAGAAGCGCATTGGTGCCAGAACGCCGTTTGCAGCCAAATAATAAAAATCATATCACTAGCATTTTTTAAGCTTACAATAAATAGCCAAATAGCGTTAGAACTCATTTTAATTTAAAAAATTTTAATCTGAAAAGGTAAACAAAACAGGTGCATACTCGGGCATAAAAAAATTAAAAGAATGAACACAAATTCTTGGACTGTTTTTGTCCATTTTAAGGTTTCATTCTGTATAAGCCGCCCATTAATGATCAAATATAATCTGACGCATTGAATGAAACAAATCTATTGAAATATAATTTAATTTAAAATAATGTGAACAGCATTAAAAAATAAACAATTTGACAATTCAAAATGTATAAACAATAGAAAAAGATTATCTACAAAGGGTTAATTCCACCTAAATCTACGAATAAAGATTTATCTCCATTTTCATTACGAAGTTTATTTGCCATAATTAATGCACAATAGAAGAGCAAGCATTCCTTTCCGAATTAAATTAGCTTTTAAACTTTATATAGTATATTACAAGCAGACGAGTGCAAAATGATGTTCTATACTCAGCGACTGTCTAGTGCAAACATTTACGACGCCCAAGCCTCGAGTTCCTTCATGTCATCTTCATCTTCAACTTTTTCTGAAAAATTAATCAGGTTGTAGTGTTAAACAATTGAATTTGAATGGGTACGTACTAGCAGGCCTAGGTTTGGAGACTTCGGCTTGTGGAATTTCAGGTAGATTCTCGGGTCCAACTTTCAGAAGCTCATTTTCAAGCGTTTCCTGTTCGAGCTCCTCCAATTCCTTTTCTAGATCCTCGTCGTCGACCACCGATCCAAAGGCCACTGGATTGCTGATCGCGTCGGATATTTCCCTAGCTACGTCTTGCTGTTCGGCGATATCATCCATCATATCGTGCACTTGATCGACATCCCTTGCAACATAAGTATGTTAGTTAAGCAAAATGAATAACCTTGAATTCAGATCACAATTAATTAATGGATTAGAAGTGATTTAAATAGGTCGAATACGTACATATTTTTATGAGCGAGTTTAAGCGCATCAGCTGCTTCTTTCATCGCATCCAGAACCGACGTGTTCGTGTTGGCACCCTCAAGCGCCTCCCTTTGCATTTCAATGGTGCTAAGCGTTCCGTCTATCTGTTCGAGTTGCTTTGCCAATCGTTTCTTCTTCTTTAACGCCTGTATCGCTAATCGTTTGTTTTTCGTGGCATTTTTTCGGGCAATGTCCATCTCTACATCAATTTTCTTTTCCAAAAACTCCTGCTTTTTGATTAACATGTCTTCGGTTTCTCTGAGTTTTTGAATTGCCTCGCCAGTTGTGATCTGCTTCTCATCCTTTTTGCCACCGAACAATTTCCCGAAGAAACTCATTTTGGGGGTTTATTCTTAAAATTATAAGCAGTTGAAAATTAATAACACTCAAACAAAAGGCAAATTTCTTCCTCCAATTTACTACGTATGACTAATAAATTGGAACTTTTCTTTCATTTGCAAAACAAGTTTGACAGTAGCATTTCATAACACATTTCGTGAAAGGTGGGATAGATGGTGCTACCTCTCTAGGCAGAGGCGCGCTATATTATGACCTATCCTGAAAATATGGGGGTTAGCGAATTCAAGTGCCGCATCCCCCTTTGGGTAAAAGTCCCCCCCTCCCCTACTTTCAAACCGCGGTTTAAATCTCTGCGCCTGTATATGGGAGATAAGTTCGTTTATAAATACAATGATACGGTGTAAGGCGTTGTAAATTCACTGGCGTAACAATTGACATTCTCTCAGACTGTCAAGCAAGCAGTCATAAAGGCTTTCCTAGCCCGCACTAGTCTGGGAGTGCATCTGCAACCTGAAGCAGCACCATGTTACTGGGTTTCATGGCATTCTGATATTGCAAGCAGATGATCTGGTAAAACTAGATGCCCAAGGCTCCATAGCAGGCCACGTGTGTAGTTCAGTCGACAGGTTGTTTCAAATAAAAAAAGGTCGGAAAAGTTATTGAAACTTTGGGATGATATTCAGGGATGGTTAAAACTAACATTTCCTCAAGTTTTGCACCTCGTTATTTGAATAGAAAAAAAATAAACATATTTTCTTATGGTCACTTTTTGAGCTCTACAAGATAGCGTTGAAAGATTTTCAATACAATGTTTGGTTTCTGAAAAATCATACTTTATTGAGTAGTATTTTTTTACCAATACAACGATGTACGGCACACAAAAAAACAAAAGTTGGAAACAGTTGGTTTTAACAGGATGGTGCACCCGCGCACGGCTCCATAACTATGCGAGAATACTTTTTTGGCAAATTTCTCTATTTTCCAGGAAATTTGCCCGAAAGGTATATTCTCATACGATTAGGGCCTTGTGCGCGGGTGCACCATCTTGTTGAAACCAACAGTTTCTAGCTCCTGTATTTTTTTGTGTGCCGTTATATCGTTTTATTCGTTATAAAAAATGCTATTTAATACAGTGTGTACTTTTTCACGGGCCATATAAACAATAAAGTTGCTGATTTCTCCGAACAAAACATGGTATTGAAAATCTCTCAACCAGGGCCATTTTTTAAGTGGCCCTTGGGTCACATTGAAGTTGATCAGCCCTGGGGCCACACCAAACTTTAGCCCTAACATAAATAATAACAATAATACTAATAATAATCTTATTATACTTATGAAGTTTAATGATCACTTAAAAAAATTACAGTATTTCTCTACACCTGCACAGTTATTAGTTTATAATATTTAACACAAATTTTAGCTAAAGATACTTGAAGGAAAAGTGTAAAAATCTGATTTGTCATAGGGATTGAAAAATTGAATTTGTGCATGGATAAATCAAGTGGATTTTAATTTGTAAGGCACCTATACGCCGTATTAGAACCTTTGATAGGTTGTATTGTGTAGGTATTCTCATTCCAAATGTGTAAAATTAAACAATATTGTACTGTTTGTAACAAATACAACTTTACCACTTATTCGACCACATGTAAGTTTGAAGCATTCTAAATCAATTAATTTAAAAATTTATTAGTCACAATTAAAACTTTATACATAGATCAAAATAATTATAAACATAAAAATAAGAGAATTTCAGTCTTCTTCCTTTATGCAGTTCTCCACCATTTCTCTCAAATTTGGATTCTCCATAGCAGCCGCTATCCTTTCCTTATCGTTTATTTGTTTATTTACTGCAAAACAAAATTATCTTAATATACAATGCAGTAACAGGCTGCTATTCTAAGCAAAAAAAAAAGCTTCCATCACTTGTACTTAGAATGGCAAATAATTCCATAAGTAAACCATAAAAAATGTTATTTACTAAATTAAGGTAAACAAGATAGCTATTTCTTGGTGGTATTTGGTATGAGTTTTAAACCACCAGCAGTTGCTTACTTTCGTCTTCTGTCGAATGTGCACCTTTCTTAATAAATATATCTAGTTTCATCTCCTGAGGTATACTCCGTTCAAGTTTGATTCTAATACACAATCCAATTAAAGTTGCCAACGAGCAATGCGGAACGGTCGGATTAAACTCGACCCGTATGACACTAATGTTCCCGGCCGTCGGGTTTTGCACCTACCATAAAAGCGGAAATAATAATGATCGACTTTCGTATCTTACTTGACGACGTACAATGACACCTTCATCGTAGACTACATTTAATTCTTCTAACGTGTTGGGTTTTTCGGGATCTTTTATTGTGCGAATGAAATCTGAATGCAAGATAAGGTTACAAAGTTCACAATTCAATCTTTACACTTTTTTTACCGAAGACATTATCTCGCAATTCGTTCGTATCGACAGGAACGTGTTGGATTGGTGGAGTTTGTACCGGAGAATTTTCTAATTTTTTTCGAAAAAGAGAAAAAAACATTTTAAAAAAATTATTGAAGGAATTGCAAAAACAGCTGATCTACCTTCAAGTTCATCCATCATATTTTACGTAGGTCACATTCACATACAAAAGAGCGTATTACATACAGTGCAGTACATATGCTAATCTAAAACGATATGAATATTTACTGGTTTCTTTAATCTCGAATTGGGTAATTAATTCAAATTAATCATTCGAATTGAATTGTAGCACATGAAACCTTACCTTTCGAACCATAATTATAGTTATTCGTATTATTATACCCTCGTTTCAATTTTTCGCTTTTTAAAATTTCTTCCAATGTTGATTCTTCAAATTCTTGTGATTTTTCGAACATTTTAATTTTTTAATTTTTCTGCTTGGGTTCTTAAAACGCTCCACATTTTTCAAATCAACCAACCTCGTCCCTTAGATTTGACGGATTTATTTATTAGGAATTCTTTTTAAGAAGGGCCATTTTGTTTGACGCTTTTGTCAAATTCATAAGGAATCTTCAAAATTATGTGGGCCATATAGCCAAATAATCCCTGATGAAACATAGGTAGGTATATACTTTGTTCTACGACCTACAAAATCCCTTAATTCTTAGTTGTTAATGTTATGTTAAAATTTGTATAACTCCTAAAATTATTCCTGGAATATTCTTTAGGAAATAATCATGGAATATCCAATATAATTATTCCTTGAATATATTTAAAATATTTCTGGAAAATTCTAGATACCTACCTATATATTCATTTAGGGGCTAAAAGGTCACACAAGTGCGAGCCTTTATGATATGTAAAAATAAAATTAGATGCTCCGAGTTCACAGGTTATCAAAAATATGACGGTAAATGTTAACTTTTTGATTAATAACTGGTTTGGGTTTAGGTCACCTTTTTTCTTACTAGATATAGAATCGGGACCGGATTGCCTTCTAATTGAAATGGGCCCCTCATTTAGATAATCGGAGCATTACTTTTGTAACAAAAACAATCGGTCTGCACGTGCGTGATCGCAAACGCGCCATTGATCTAGGAATTGGGGCATATTTCTACGCGAAAATCAGAGCAATCCGACTCTGTACCGAATATCACAAAACCGATTTTTTATGTATGACGATGTGGTGTCTTTGCTCCTTATCAGATTGCCCCAACCAGTGAACCCGGCAAATTTTTTGTTCGATAATGAGGGGAATTTGGCGCGCATTTTCGAGTCACGTGCAGAGGAATGAGAGTGGGATAAAATCGTACACAAACTGCGCACCTGTAAAAATCAGCTGGTCATCTCAACCTCCAAGTATAAGCAGAGAATCGACGTCATTCTCGGAGAAAGTTGTAACTCGTGTGTTCGGTGTGACAGTTTAAAATAGAATTTCAATGAAGTCGATTTCCTCGCTTTAGCAGTAATTATGAGCGAGTCGTTTAAAAATCGCGTTTACTACGCTGCTAGGGATGGCATGGCGATAACGCTCTACACTTTGTTAAGTGATAAAAATGGAATTGAAGTGACTAAACTTTTGAATAATGTAAGTAGCTTGCTCTTTGTTAATATAAATTGATTTGGACTATTTTAGTCTGTTGTCGAAGATGAAGGTCAACATTGTACACCTCTCATTATTGCCGCAAGGTATGGTCATGATAAGGTGGTCAAAATGTTGTTGTCCAAATTTAGTCCCGATTTGGAGCAAGAGGGTACTGTTAAATTTGATGGTTACGTGATTGAGGGTGCCAGTGCACTTTGGTGCGCAGCTGGAGCGGGTGAGTTCGCTGTGTGCTCGCTTTTAATATTTTGTCAGAATAGGTAAGTACCGCGAAAGATGTACTGGCCCTACTGTACCTTGCACCACTTGCATGTTTTGAATATAGTGCAATGCACACAGGAATTTAAAACTTTACAGTGCATTACAAATTCATTGGGATCTGGGAGGGCTGAAACAGTTGAATAATCTTAAAAGACGAGTTAACAGATGGCTCCACTAACACCAATCTTTTATAGCCCCTTTATTACGAACAATAAGGACATCGCAAAAGCTTTAACCATACAGTGTAATCATATCACTAAAAACACTTAGTCCACTATATCTTGTCAGACTAACAATGTTGTTAGGCATATGCTCGGATGTTTTTTCAAAGAATAACATTCTTTGAGAACAACAACATTGTTGACAACATAGAAGTATGCTTTATATACCGGCCATTAAAGTGGGGTGTTGATTTTGTACCTACCTCGCATTCTTTGATTGTGGTATGACCTCGGGTATGACACAATAACATGAAAATGCCATTAATTATCTTCACACATCAACCTCCTTGGTACTTGGATTCGCAAGTTTTTTTTGTAACATTTTCCTTGGTTGATTTATATTTGTACACTTGACTATATACACACCCTGCCATCCCAAGCAAAATAATACAATAAATTCTCCCTTGACATTTGGGTTTGATGTACCCACGAACTTATAAAGTAAGATGGACTGCTGATCAAACAGTTGCATAGAGGTAGAAATGGCCCTAGCATGGTCGCCGCCATGATGTGCACATTTTAGTTATTTTCTAGTGGAATTTTCCTAGTGCTCAAGTTTTGAGACTATTGCAACCTTGAAAAATGACATGTGTCACAGTAATTTATTTATAAAACGTTAATGTTGGGTTAATGCTTGTTTATTGGTTGATTTGAATTTCGCGCCATGTGAGTGCACATCATGGTGGCCTCCATGTAGGTGTCATTTGTTAATTCAGCATTAGCAGTCCATCTTAATTTATAAGTTCGTGGATGTACCTATGCAATTTATTTAACAATAAACATTATTTTATTTGGAACAGATCCTTCGTGTTTTTAGTTAATTTCCGCAGAAACAAACGCACTGTTAAATATAACTGAAACATAAAAGATCAACCCCTGAGGAGAAGAATCGTAGCTACAATTTTGATAGCAGCGTCTTTTTTCCCATACAGAGTGCCACGTTTCGTTTTTTTGGGGCCATTATCAACTTTAGTTTTTTAAATACTGACCTGCATTTTATATTTTGAAAGAACTTAGAAATAAGGCAAAATCTTTTTGACGATTTGGTTATTAATGATGGAGTTCATTCCATGGCCTTGAATTATACAGGGTGGAAATTTTGTCTGAAACATATCTTTCAAAACAATATTTTGTTAAAGAAGCTTTTTATGGTATCCAAATAAAAAGTTTGCTACCAATCTACATGCTTTAAAATTGTGGTCAGTGCCCAGTGGCATACATCTGCAGAGTCAAGGGGGCATATATATTTTTTTATAGCAACGGCTATTTTTCATTACCTACATTCTTAAATTGCACACTTTTTTGGTTATAGAAACGTACAAAATTTATTATATTACATAACACAATTTTATAGAAACACTCAGATTAAGGTAAATAGTTGTTTCATAATTAATTTTTTGTGTATTTTTTTTTTGTTTACATGTTTTGTACATTGTACATTTGTTGCAAATATTTATACGACAAAAACTAACAAAAGATTAACATTTTTTCCATGCAAATTAGTAGGATTATAACATTAATTAATACCACGATATGCCTTAATTTGAGTTTTTCTCTTAAATTTGATTACGGTTAGGATAACCAGCTCCAAAAATAAGTTTTCTGGCAAAATCGTTGCCTCAGCAATAAATTTCAAGGCGTGATGATTTTCGACGCCCCCCCCCCCCCCACGGACCTGACCGAGAGCACAGAATAGGTACTATTACTCCTTATTAAATTTGGTTCTTTGATTATTAGTAACTCATAATTTGATTTTATTATATTATAATTTCTTATATTTTTCTTAAAATTCCTGTTTCCCTGACAGACAGCTAAAATTCCGAACATGTAAGAAAATTTTTTTGTCGTCTGTGCAACCCCTGTACTCCGGACATCCAGTGATCCGGTCGCGCTAATGTAGTCTTAGATATGTACAGAGCTATCTCTAATCGTTTGGCCGCTAGGGGGCGTTTCTCGAGTTTGCTCAATTTCTTTAATGGCCCGTTTCTTATTATTAAAGCTAATTTATTTTAGGAAAATATTTTTTTGGCCGCTTTTTTTATGTAGAATCCATCGCAATACACCGTTTTTATACGGGGTGTTTGGTTTCCGTATAGCCCGCTGTGGCCTTCTTACATGCTATAATAGTACGCATATGTTAACTCAATACTTTCGTCTATTTAAAATGTGCACAGTGTGATTTTGCAACACATCGCAACCATGTCCTGAAACAGCATCTCTCTTAACTTTTTTATTTAAAATGTGCACACTATAATTGCATTATATGGAAATGTCAATGCACCCATATTTACGAAGTTCGTTGGGATACGTGATACAACATTCGCCGAGTCTGATATTATCTATATAAATAAAAACGAATGCTTGTCTGTCTCTATGTCTCTTTGGGGGAAGGTTACCCGCCCAAGTTTCTGAGTTTCCGAAATTCCCACGGGAACGGTAACAGGAAAGAACTGGATTTCATTGGAGACTTGACGTTTAGAACGTAAGTTTTCCTTGAAGACGTTAAGGTGTACTCTGAAAGAACTCTCCGAGATTCTCCCGAGAACTGGGTACGAGAAAAACCGAGATAGTATAATATAACAAGTGATACATCAAAATTAAGGAAATTTTACTCTCTTTTCATAAACTCCAAGATATATGGGATGGCCGGTATAAAAAAATGTAGTTTAGGGTCGTATAACAAAACAAACACCCTGTATAAAAATTGTGTATCGAAAGTTATGGGTCCAAACGATTAGGGAGGTGAATTCTCTTTACGCCAGTAACTTTCTCTTTAAAATTGAGCTCTATATAGGTTCATTTTTTCTTCTATTAAAATAAAAGGTGTTTCCATAAGAAAGTGTCCAATTTGGACCACTCTGTACATACTTACGTACAGGGTGGTTCACCATTGGAAACAGTTTGAGATGTAGAAGCTGCAGGCTACTACTTTCTTATTTCTTAATGGGCGCCATATTTTTACGGAATGAGAAAAATAACGACGTGTCACACTTTATACATGATAGTCTCGTGGGGGGGGGGGGGGGGGGTGAAATCTAGGATGGCTGATAAGGGCGAGCAGGTACAGCTCCTAATCATCATAGTAATTTGCACACCCTTGTAATTGTTACTTGTTATATCTACTCTCGAACTGGGACTGGTATTTTTCAGCGGAGATAGCCGACAAACCCTCTCCTCTACCGGAAAGAAAATGAAAAGAAAGTTCCCAATCCCTGTGCGTCAAACTTGCGTGGTTAAATTGCATCGGTAGGGCGCTCTCATCACACCACTTTAGATGCTACGGGAGTTCTCCTACAAGTAATACTACTGTGAACAATAATAATGAGTTCTTCGTAATGGAGAAAATATATTGTCACACCTCCTCTTTCCTACAGCAGGACCAAAGTTTTCCGGCGGTTGAAAAATAAAAAGACAAAAATTGATATCCTGCCCGTCCCTCCTCAAAAAAAGAAGACACTCCTTGAAATGCTCAATACCCCAGCAAAAGTCGACACACCTCCTTTACCAAAACATACTTACACTTAATCTAAATGAAATCGAAGAACTCCCCCCCCCCCCCCATCAATATTTAAAATCCACAAGAAACACTGTTCCAATCTTGTCCCTTTATGCACCGGGTTTGGTTAAAACAGCGTGAACCTAATCCTACCGTCTTCCGCGATTCCTCTTTGAGATCAGAGCAGCCAGAGCGCGGAGCGGAGGGGGGAGGGGGCAGAAATTGGTTTTATTGTTCATGGTACTTTAATGAAAGGTCTCAACAAAAGGAATTGACTTCTACCAACTATCGCTTTCCTCCAGCACCTATTATCCTTGCCTTTTTGTAATTGAGGAGGGGAGTTTTTACACCAAGAATTAATTCCAATTTTATATTGATAATATCAAAAGTGTGAATATCTCGAAAATGGAATGTCGCAGGAGGGTACTCACACAGGGCTATTGGAACAACTGACCAAAGCCAGTCAAAATGGTTAATGCAGATGACGTCAATAATGTACAATGTTGATTAAATGATTTCAAAATTAGTTGAGTTTAATATACCTTAATCATTAATTGTTTCAAAAGCAACTTTTGTGCGAGGATGCTCAAATTAGTCTAAATAACACGCATTAAGCACGGGATCTTAATTTAAATTCCTTAACCCCGCTCAATGATCATATTTCGTTGGGGTGCTAAAAAATGCGCTTTATCTGTACAAGAGTTGTGCACAATTTGTACTTGTTCTATTAAGGTGATTGTAGTTCTAAATCAATTTTAGGTCATCTTAATGTAGTCAAAATTCTGGTCAAGGCAGGGGCAGATGTCAACCACCCAACAAAAACAAATTCGACGCCCCTTAGGGCGGCATGTTTCGACGGACGACTGGACATCGTGAAATATCTAACAGACCACAGCGCGGATATTCACATCGCCAATAAATACAATAATACGTGTCTTATGATTGCCGCATATAAAGGTCACACGGATGTGGTCAGTATATTTCACCGTTTACGTAGGCCCCAAGTAACGGATCTGTTACAGGCGTCGTTTTTGTTAGAGCACGGAGCGGATCCTAACGAAAAGGCCCACTGCGGCGCCACCGCGCTGTATTTCGCCGCCGAAAGCGGTCATTTGGATATTGTAAAAAAGCTACTGGCGTATAACGCGAAATTTATCGTAAACGAAGTCGGTATGACCGCCCTCAAGGCGGCGGCTGAGAGAACCAGGGCGGATATTGTCGATTATTTAGTCGATCAACCGGAAATAAGCAAAGAAGAACAGATAGAAGCTTTGGAACTCCTAGGTGCGTCTTATGCCAATGATAAGGATAACTATTGCCTAGAATTAGCCTATTTATACCTACACAGGACTATGGTGTTAAGGTATGTTGAACTGTAACACTGAGTGTTGTCTGGTCTGGTACTAAAATTAGTGCGGAAGTAAAAAATTACTCGTTAATGCTTCATGCATAGATACACGTATCTATAGACACTTGCATTAAAAAATCACTCATCACCCACAAATTATAAATATGTAGAAAATAATCACAAAAGCGAGTAGACAAGATCATTAACTTTGTTTAAGATCATTAAGTATTTGCTGGCTTACTTCCAATTATGCATAATTCCTTCACCTAAAATGGCCGAATTTTCAAAATGCCTCAACGCCTTTTTGACTGTGACTTTTGAATGAGTTGACTATTTGAAGATTTCAATTTCCACAAAACGTGCCTTGGGTATTTTGATTCATCATTTGATAAATATTTATCTTCGCGCACGAGCACACATCTAAATATTGTATTATTAGGTCAAGGTTACGATGATTCGGCATGCGAGAATAGACTAGACCAACAAATTTATGATGGCAATTAATAACCTCCTTAATTATAATAAGTAAAGAAAAATTCCATTATATGCCAAAATAAGCTCTAGATGTAAATGGAAAATTAAGGTTTTAAATAGAATTCTTTGTCCGAGATATTTCAAGAAAAACTGAAAACGTATTTTGAATGCTAAAAATACTTTTGTATATAAAGGTGAGTTGGAAATACTTGGATAGTTTTTGACGGTCAACAATCGAAATAGATCCTTGTGATCTGTAAGTTCAGGGTGAATTTTTTGCGACTGTCTACTGTCAAACATGTACAGGATGTGTAACGTAAAGTGTATCATGAAAGCCATTGGTTTTCTATATCATGAATGTCGAAGCAAAATATTTTTCAAGGTAATTGTGTGGATCCAAAACAACACCCACCCAAGTGACTAAAGCGCATTTTTTGCATATGCGTAAATCTCTTAATTGTTTCTTTGGTTTAGTGGAATTTTACCATGGTGTAAAATAAGAGGTGTATGAGCATCATACCTTTGGTATTCTATGTGCCGGATTTAGTACCGGATATAATTTTCGCGCGATCCGGAGAAAATATTCGTACTTTTACTTTTTCTGTGAAACGCCCATGTCCCTTTTTAGCGCATTTCAAAATTTAAAAAAAAATGCACTATTGTGGCCACTTTGTCCGTCCGTCCGTCCGTCCTCTCGTTTTGAGACGCTACTAGTTTTTTTATCTTAAGAGCTATTGTTCTACTTTTTTTGCTATTTGGTTCGTTATGGTGTCGAGTCTTGCACCAAGGAAGGAATTTTTTATGTACCGCTTACAAAAAAAGTTATTGTAAAAAAAACAAAAAACCATTTAATTTTACACTTTTGCCGTTTATTAACGATCCTAGAGATCGTTTATAATTTTGCATTGCTGTCTGTCGTCTGCCTGTTGGTCTGTTCGTCTGTTCCTTTGTCTGTCTGTCCCTCTATCTATCTGTGTGAACGATAACTTTGTTTAGAAATGTCCGATCGCTTTTACATCTCCGTTAGTTATGAACTGAATTGCATGAAATTCAATATGGGCATAGCTTTAACCATATAATACGCAATGCCAAAAGTTGAATCGAATCGATTCAAAATTCACAGTGCCCTTTTCGCATCTCGACCATTTATAAACCGAATTGCAAACTTTTTTAATTATAAAAGTATTTAAATGAAATTTTATACATAGTCACTTGGAATAAAAGCAAATTTAACGCCAGTTTCAAAATTTGGTTTTGCGCATGCGCAGTGCCAACTTTCTTATTTATGGAGGGATTTAAATGAAATTCGATACATAGCCACTTGGAATAAAGGAAAATCTAACGTTAGCTTCAAAATTTAGGTTTGCGCATGCGCTGTTCCAACTTTTTTATTTAGAAAAGCATTAAAATGAAACTCTTCTTATAAACTGAAATTGAAGTAGCACGTCAAAAATGGATTGCACATGTGAAACGCTATCTTTCATATTTGTGGCCGGATTTTTACAATTTTAACAAAAGTTGCATCTTACAAATAGGAAATGAATGCAAGTGGAAATGCGCTTTATGTAAATCGTTTACGATTACTTTTTAACTTGTTGAAATTGAAAAGAATTTGTTTCTTTACTAAATCGGGGGCGTAATTCAACAATCAAGCTGGTTTTTAGCTGTGGGCCCAAAAATTGCCAAAAATATGAACATGATCTTTAGGGAAAAAAAAATTCTTTGGTTGGAGAGAGGATGGACGAGGGCACATAGTGCAAAAATTTGGGCCGCCTAGCATTTCCGGTTGAGGTTACTTTTCTCATTGTGGTTAATATTTACGTGTTGTTATCCCTATGTCAAAATCTCAAAAAATGATGAAGTTGGGGTGTTCCAAAGGAAGTCATGTCCCTTTTTTTTTCTTTGGAGTCTTAAAGGAAGGACCCAAGGATGAGGAAAAATGTAAATTTTCAAATAAATTTCGAAATTGACGAAAACTTGATTCCTTACTGCATCAGATGCGTAGAATCAAAAAATGAAGTCGGTTTTGAGACATTTTGACCTCTTAAAGGGGGGAAAAACAATCCGACATAACCCCAATAAAAAAATTCGCAATTTGTTTGTTGATTTATCGATGTGCTTTTTTTTACACAGGAACAATGAGAGCGTGTCATGTAAAAATTCGAGCGCGTACGGTTCCGTAACTGCCTTATGCTGGCGGTTTCCAATTATACAGCGTTTAGATATTGCGTCACAATTAATTAATTAGCAATCTTACAGCCAATGTAAACAAATAAGTTGCCAAGTAGCATCTGTACAGATAGTTTGTCGACATCGACACATATACTTAAAGCATTGCTTCATTGTCATCAAAGTCTGTGTTACGGCGACGTGACGGGACCACTTCTAATCAACTAGATGGCGATCCTGCTCATGATCCACACCCTACAGCTAGTCTTCAACCCCCAATGAACTCAAAAATTGTATTAAAATTACCTCCCTATTTATGAGATTTCAGTATTGGAAGCACAAAATGTTGGGTTCTATTCGGGCCCATTGTGCCTTCGCAACCAGGTTCAGAGCCCATTCCTCTCAATAAAGGATAGGACAATTGCACCACCCTCCCCGGTTTCAGATAACTGTTGCTAAGGTGTAACAGTGACAGACCACTAGACTCACCTAATTAATAATAATAATCTCTTAGATTAAAGGGCGAAGGATTCCCCCCCCCCTTCCCGCTTTAGTAAAAATTGAATTAACTTGCAAGGGATTTAGCCCTTGCTTGCATATACAGGCTGCAAGTAAAAAATGTAAGCTATACCTTCAAAGTGAATCATATTAATAAAAAAATCATGTCCAATAAACAATTGGTTTTGGTTTAATTGTTTGGACAGTAATCTCAGATGACAAAAGTCTAAGATTGTCCATTCATTTGTTTTTATATACACTTGTTAGTAAGAAACTACCAAAAGTAAAAAACAAACTACGAAAGGTTCTTAATGGAGGTGGTTAAGTGCCAAATGATTGTATTTATTCTTGCCTTCGCTTCAAAAAAATACACTGTTACTAATAACACTAGACATGGTAGTAACAGGCGTTCAATAATAAATCGTTGTTGTTAGATCGTCTCTTTTTGACAGTTGTCACAAAAAACATGACAGCTGTCAAACTTGCTGCATGCTTTTCGAGTTTCGGGACGTTTTTACAAATTAAAAATCGGTTTTTTTTTTTGAAAACTCACAAGTGCTTTTGTTTACACGTGCGTGCGTGTGCTTTTCAGTGATTTTGACAGTTGACATCAAACCGTACGAACTTATCAACGGCTCTACGTTCATGCCAGCAAGCCAACTATTCCCAGAACAATTATTGAACGCCCGTTATATGCGTTAAAGTGGGATAGGGAGATTACTTGTGCGATGTTGTCCAAGTGTAAGTGCATTGATTCCTACTCTGTCTATAACAACAAATGTTTTGAAAGCAAAAATGCTATGGATTATCCCACAAGATCTGCTCTAATCGATTTGGAAGAAGTGAGAGGTGAATCCCCTCAGGGCAACTAAATATCTTGTCACATTAACCTATAGCATGAATGTGTTGCACAAGATGATAAAAGTAATGTTTTTTGGCACATATACACAGTGTCCATTTTTCGAGTGCCACTATGGGGATCTCACTTATCTTAAGAGATAGAAAGTTGGTTAAATGGGGGCAAAGTTGCCAATTTTCGTGCTGAATAAGAATCTGAAAAGAAATTTGAAATATCTTCAATAGTTTTGAAGATATCGCAAAAAAACGACAATTTCTGATTTTCGTTTTTAATTTTTTTATGATAAACTAATCGTAGTAGACATTTCTAATTAACACATTAGACTGATACTTTTTAATGGAGATTTCAAATATGGCATCCTGTTTTTAATAACTTTCCATATAACGGAGAAACACGTGGCAACGTTAGTTTTTCTTATGGGCGCCATTTTGAATTTTCACATTTTGAGATTACGTCTTTTTTTCTCTTTACAACGATATATCACACACATGGTGGTTGTATCATATTTTTCCTAAAAATACAATTTTTAATTTTTTGAGAAGAGTGCTTCTCTGACAATGCTGCAACCAGACAGATGGATCAAACTGTCAAACTTTTGTTTACAACAAAAGAACGTTTTGTTTTTCCAAAGCACTCTTCTCAAAAAATTAAAAATTGTATTTTTAGAAAAAATGTGATACTGAATCACCATGTGTGATATATCGTTGTAAAGGGAAAAAAAGACGTAATCCCAAAATGACAAAATTCAATATGGCGCCCATAAGAAAAACTAAAGTTGCCACATGTTTCTCCGCCATCTTGAAAGTAATTAAAAACAAGATGCCATATTTGAGATCTCCATTAAAAAGTGTCCGAATAATGTGTCAATGAGAAATGTCTACTACGATTAGTTTATCAAAAAAAAAATTAAAAACGAAAATCAGAAATTTTCTTTTTTTTTGCGATATCTTTTGAACTATTGAAGATATTTCAAATTTCTTTTCAAATTATTATTCATCACGGAAATTTGCAACTTTGCCCCAATTTAACCAACTTTCTATCTCTTAAGATAAGTGAGATCCCCATAGTGGCACTCGAAAAATGGGCACCGTGTATAATATTATGTGGGCAGGTATTGAGTGAGTAAACGATTTACCAAATTAAAGCAATGGATATTAAAAAATTGCGACGAAACTACAACAGAATATAGAATTTTGATTATTAGAGTGTTTTTTTAAATCATAAGGCAGAGAGGTCTTGAGAACTTGACAATATTTGTCATCTGAATGGTCTTGAAAATAACGATCCAAAATTTTTGCTGCCTGGTTAAGAGCTGCAGTTGAAATTTTCGGAAATTAGTTTCAGTTTCTGGGGAGTTTTTTAATCACATCATCAGAGAGACTAAGACATTTTTCGTAAAATTAATTCAGGCTTCTTATAGATACAGCGATCCCGAAAATATAATAAGGAAAAAATTCATACCTCCCGTACCTGCATACGAAAATTGGATAGAATGCCAGACCCTTCCAGAGTTAGAGGCAATCGCAAGAAATCAAAACGCTTTACATATGGAAGCATTAACAATTCGGGAACGAATATTGGGCAAACACAATCCAGAAGTGCCTCATCCTGTGATATTTAGGGGTGCAGTATTTGCGGATAATGCACGATTCGATCGATGTATAGAGCTTTGGTTGCACGCCTTGGATTTACGACAGTTAAACAATATGTCGGTAGTTAAAGACTTGCTGAGGTTTGCTCAAGTTTTCTCACAAATGCTTCATGTTGGAGTCGAAATAGTCTACAATCATGTGATAATGGTATTAAAGGCCGCTGTAATTGAATTAGGAAAAAATAAACAAAAATTGACCGCTCCTGGATCAACTGTTCCAGAATCTCTTGCGGTAGGTAACTTATTATACCGAAGCCGAACAAAAACTAATGTAATGCGATTTTAGGATGAAATAGAAGCAAATTTAACCACTACCTTATACTTAATCACCATACTAACAAATTTGTTCAAAAAATGCCCTGGAAATGAAAAATTTGAAGTTAGGCGATTAATTTTTAGTTTAAACAAATTGAATTTAACAATGAGGGATGGACAGACATTACTGCACCTGTCGTGTAATTCGGAAACGCCCGTTGACGATTTCCACACGAACGACGTCTGCAAGTAAGTGTGTTGGTTTTGTACTTCTTAGAGTGATGACATTCTTCCAGATTTCCATGTGCCGAAACGACAAAGCTTTTAATTCAATGTGGCGCCGATGTCAATGCCATGGATGGTGAGCGGAATACTCCCCTGCACATAATCGTACATTATCATAAACCCATATCAGACTTTGCTACCTTACATTCGATAATAGTATGTCTAACAGAAGCAGGTGCACATATAGATAGTGTAAATATTCGTGGAGAAACACCTTTAGATTCTGCCTCGACAGGTACGCATACTGTACGTAAACATCTGCTGTGACACCAGTTTTAGGGGTAGCCGAAATTATATTGAAGGCGCAAGCGAAATTAAGTTTAAAATGCATTGCGGCAAAGGCTGTGAAATACTTTAACCTTACGTACCAAGGGCAAGTGCCGCACGCTTTAGAATCGTTTATCGAGTTACACGGACCAGGTTCAATAAAACAAGGCTAGTCAATTCAACAATTTATTGTATCGTACCTACCATTTGCTTGTAGATTTGGTGCTAACAAATTTTGTACTAATGTAATATACCTCTTTGTAAGTAAAATGTATTTATTTTAATATATTGTAAATCATTTTTCAACAAACCTAGTGTTTTTGTGCTTTACAAAATCAAAAATTCCAGAACGTCCATAGTGCAAATCTATTGCAACAAATAATAATGCTGGAATACACCTTCGCAGATTTGTCCACCCGTATTCTAAGTATAAATTTAACCCACACAAAAGAATGATTTAACCAAAAATTTATTTCACAATTAATGAGAAAAACTACCAATATCTTTGGTTTGGGTTCACATGATTCATAAAAAATATACAATTTACTGGTTGCCGTTTTATTTATATGACACAACTTTGATTAATAAACTGTTTTTTTTACGCAACTTGCCGCATCTAGCGCAACCGAATTTTTGCACCTTGGACACTAACGCTTTCGTGGTACCTAACAATTTATTTAAGCGCGAGCATAATAATCAAATAATACACCGAAACGAAAATAATCGCTCACATATTAATACGGTACGCTAAGCAATATTCCCGGCTACTAAACGGAAATGTCCCTTTTTTGTTAAACCAGCCACTTTATATTGTATAACTCGTAATGGCGAGACGTAACGAATTTAGAATGCACCCAGCAATAAAAGTCGAACTTTCAGCAGTTTTCATTTGAAATCTGACGAAAAACTTCAACTTTCGCAATTACGATCACTTGCGATTACGCGGCTGACATAAAATCTATCTGTTTGTCACGATTACACGACTTTCAGTTTGAAATTTTAATTAGCAATGAAATTTCACGCGATTTCAAAAATGGCGTACTTGCACAACTCGCATGATTTGCCTTGAAAGCTTGACAATAAAGTGGCAATTGTACTTTATGTTACGTAGTTTTGCCTCAAAGGTCTGGCTACGAGTTCAATCTGCGATCGAAAAAAATGCAGCGCACGAACCTGCGTAGATTCTATTGGAAGGTTTGAGTAACAGTGTCGCTCTCCCACCAGATTTTTACTTAAGTATTCGCTGAATTCCAGATACGAAATGGACTCGCCGCAACCCAAGGGTTCACGGTGTTTTTATACATGCGAAGGTGTAGCGGAGAGTACCTGTTAGAGATGGCTTGGTATGGTTACATGATAATAACAAGATTGTAAAATAAAAATACAAGTTTGCGTTTTGATTTCTTGTAAGAAGAATCTAATTATATCAGCGTGTTGGTACACCAAATTAGCGGCCCCGTTCCTCAGAGTGTTAGTTTTTAACAAGTGGCGACCGTGACAGGACAAGTGGGTAAATTTAGGTGGTGTACAACAAAAAGTAATAGAGATTGTCAAATTTGTATCGTTGAAGATGACTGAACCACTCAAAAAACGACGTACTGTAGCCCGCGGTGCTTTTACTCGAGCTTTCAATACATTTATGGAGACGGTTTGTACGGAAACCACTTTGGACGTTAAGCAAAGCGCGTTTCAATTACTAGAAATACGGCTGAAAGAATTAGACATCAGTCAAGAACATTATAACAAAAAGTTGTTTCAGAGTGACATGTCGGAAGATGAAATTAGTGCTGAATTGGAATCAGATGATACGTACCATAAAAAATTTATCGACGCGAATATCGCAATGAATAAATTTCTTGCATCTGCAACACTATCTCCTGAAATCGTTCCGTCATTTACACAGAAAGCGTTACCGAAATTAAAGATACCGAAGTTCAAGGGATCGGTAAAAGAATGGCTTCCTTTTTGGAGTCAATTGAAAAGTATCACGAAGATCCGACTTTAAGCAATGAAGTGAAGTTTCAATACTTGTTACAGGCTACAGTCGAAAAATCTAGCGCCAAGAATATTGTAACCAGTTTTCCTCCGACGGGAGATAATTATGAAAAAGCGATAGAAAGTTTGAAGAACCGTTTCGGACGAGATGATCTCATGAAACAGTTTTATGTACGAGAGTTTAGCCCTTGTACTTCAGAATGCGTCTGACACAAGGAAACCGAAACTGTCAGATTTATATGACAAATTGGGATCGCATTTACGGGCACTCAATTCATTGGGTGTAATGAAAAAGGACTACGCTACGTTATTGTATCCTTTGGTTGAATCTTGTCTTCCTGAAGAGGTCCTGGAAGCAGTCCAGTAGGAAAGACGGTTTAACAACTGAATCGCATGACCAGCTGACCCAATTGATGACGTTCCTGGAACTAGAAGTGTGCGATCAGGAGACTATTAAGATGGCAATGACAGGCTTCAACATTACAGCGAACCAAGAAGGAAGGAAGCAGTTGCGAGGGAAGCAAACCTACGAAGTTCAAGGTGATGTTGCGACTGCAAGCGCTCTGTTTGTTTCGAAATCCAATTTGTCGTGCATATTTTGTAATGGCGAACACGAAAATAACAAATGTACTGTTGCTCGCAAACTAAACTTCGATGAGCGGAAAAACATAGTGAAGCGAGAGAAATGTTGTTTTCGCTGTTTAAAGTATGGCCATAATTCGAAATCATGCCGTGTAAAGTTAAGCTATAGTTGGTGTTCAGGCCGACATACACTTCTTTTGTGCGAACTGGTAAATAATGCTTTTTGCTATCTGTTTCTTTGCTCTCACAAACCTGACGCCATTACCCTCCGGGCCGGCGCGAACGTCTTCGCCTTCTTCGGAGCCGATTCGCGTCTCTTATTATTGCTTTGACTGTTGCCTAGAGAAGGGGTAAACCCAGAGTTCGTCCATAAGAACAGGACTCTCCTCCGACTGTTTTAATTTACTTATTAACAGAAGACTTATCAAACTATCCTCGTATATAATCGTACTATATTTTTGTTTCAACGTATTATAGGCAACACATCGTACACTTTCAATTTTGCTATACCAAGATTAACATATCTTCTACGCACTACCCCGACGTGGAATTTTGAGGAAATCCTGCACTCTTTTGATTTGAAATCAGATCAACTCTAGAAACGTTACTAAACACAACTTTATCAGAGCAAAAATGGATTTTAACATCCCTACCTGTCAATGTCGGTGGATTAGGTGTGAGGAAAGCAAGTGATTTAGCAATACCAGCTTTTTTGGCTTCAGTAAATAGAGTTTACGACCTTATTTGTGACATGTTACATAAATCTATAACAGTTAAGGTTGATATTCCTTTTTACGATGAAGCTTTGAACTTCTGGAAAACATTACAGCAAAGTTCCAATAGCTTTAATAAAGAAGAACTAACAATACCATCTATACCTTCCGTTCAAAGAAATTGGGACTTGATCAACGTTGAACGTGTAGTAAGATCTATGACACTGACAAGTGAACTCGATATCGCGAGATATAAAGCTTCGGCGGTTCCAGAATCTAACATATGGTTAAATACACTTCCCTCTAAAACCATTGGATTGTTATTGGACAACAATACGTTTCGTATTTCCATCAGCTTACGCCTTGGAACAAACATTTGCGTTCCTCATACTTGCATTTGTGGTACGCAAGTAGACAGCAGTGGAATACACGGACTATCTTGCTCGATGAGCGCAGGTCGACATTCTCGACACTCATCTTTGAATGAAATAATACATCGTTCACTTGCATCGGCAAAATACCCTGCTATGTTGGAACCTGTAGGCCTAAGACGTGACGACAATAAACGTCCTGATGGAATGACCCTTGTGCCTTGGACCAAAGGACAAATGCTAGTTTGGGATGCCACATGCACCGACAGTCTAGCACCATCCCATGTTAATTTATCAAGTAAAACGGGTGGTGCAGTAGCTGAATCTGCGGCAGGTATAAAAATAAGGAAATATTGTTCAATTATAGAACAGAACCATTTTTTTATACCTTTCGCAGTAGAGACTTTGGGACCTTGGTGCAGAGAGGCTCGTAATTTTGTGGAGTGTTTAGGAAAACGTATTGCCAGTATTACTGGAGAACCTCGAGCTACTAGTTTTAAATATATTTAAAACAAAAAATCAGTATTGCTATACAACGTGGCAATGCGGCAAGTATAATGGGGACGCTTCCAACTGCGATCCCCATGGAAGAAATTTATTATTTGTTATGAATATTTAAAAATTTTTAACTTTGTAATTAATAAATTAGATCCAATATTAAAAAAATGAGACTTTCAATGTACACAACGTACGAATCAGGGGCACGTTTTAGTTAGTGTCTGGTTTTTACTTCTTTTGAATACTTTCCCCATTCATAGCAATCAGATTTTTAATAAGTATAGTTATGGATATACAAGGTGTAGTTCTTTATAAGGTAACGAATGTTTATCCCGAGCGTTTCTTTTACATGCGCTTAACCTTAAGGTTAATCAGTGATTAAAAGTGTTAGAATGGTCTTATCTTATAATCAAGGAACACATTGTAATATTCTTAATCACGTTTGTGGTTTCGAGGATTCTTGGAGACCCGTTTTCATTGTAATTCTAATACATTTAACTCTGAAATCCAATTAACTAATGTGAATTACAGTTAATGTTTTCTGAAATATATCTTACCTACGGTTTCTGAAATACACTTGAAGAAGGTAGTAGTTTATCAAATGAAATCAGAGCTGGGCAGAATACTTTCAAAAGTATTCTAATACTATAAAAAGTATTCAAATACTTGTCACTCAAATACATTAAAAATTTAAAATAGTATATAAAAGGCTTAATACTACTTAAAAAATCAAGTTATACTTTGTATGCGGGTTAGCTTTTTTTATATTTCTATTGTTATATACAAATTTAAGGGGAGTAAAAGCGTATTATTATTATTATTAATAAGATTAATAAGAAAAAGTGTTTTCCCGAGAAATTTTGGTGCAGTCGATTTTTGGTAAAAAAGGAAGGCCCGCAATAAAAATTGTCTCAGATCGACGCGGAAAAAACATTTTCTTATAGAATGTGGCCTGTAGAATCCATAATTTCAAACAGTTCCAAGATTGGGCTACTATTTCAAAAGTTACAGCCCTTTGAATTTTCTTTCGAAATTGGTTTCTAGTCTATAACTTTTCATTGAAAAATCTAATCGAAAAAGTACGAATTGTTTCGGATTCTATGCACCAAAA